TGTGGGCCCGACCCCTTCTGTGAGGCTTCCAGAGATGGCAGTGGGCTGGGTGAAATCCAGGCTGCCTCTCTGGGCATGCCCAAACCCGAGCCTCCAGTTCACAGCACAGCACCCAGAGTGGGTCCTGAGGGCCCCAGAGGCCCTGCCCTGGGCAGCTTTCTCTCAGTGGACTTGACATCGGCACAGGGCACTCTCCGGGTTGTGCCATGGCTGCCCTGGGCCCCCTTTCTCTCCCAGGGCTGTGAAGGCATCTTCCCAGCTGCATTGCTGGTTTCACAAGGTCCCTCTCGTGCTCCCCCACTTGCTCATGAGACTAGGGTAGGGGCTGGCAGATGGCGTGTGCAAAGGGAAGTTCAGGGAAGACCCCAATGTGCACATGGAGATTGGATGGCAGGAAATGAGGTGGCAGCAGTAGGGGCCGTGGGAAGAACCTGAGAGACAGGGATAGATGGAGTGGGACCTGGCCTGGGCTCTGCAGAGTTATAGCTGGAAGGGGTGACTCAGCACCCCCTCACCCAGCTCCTCCAGGGACCCCTGTGACACCTGGCCCTGGGCCTGCCCACCTGCCTGGTCAGGTGTGTCACGACTCACAGCAGCACCCTCACAGGGAGGATGACGCCTGGGCCCTGGGTGCTGCTCCAGCTGGGAATGGGAGGACTCTGTCGAGCCCTGGCCTCAGGTTCCTCACATAGGATGCATTCTCACTTCAAGGAAGTTTCGGGGAGCCCTGCCCGGCGGCTGTGAGTGCTTGCTCGCTGGGCCAAGAATTGGGCTTTTCACAGAGGAAGGCTGAGCCGAGGGGTGTGAATTAGCCCCATTCACAGGACAGGGCCAGTCCCCCGGAGCGCCCAGCCCAAGCTGAGCCACCAAGTGCCAGGCGCGGAGAGCAGCATCCTGTGTGGCAAGATCAAGATGGAGTGGGGTGGGATGTTATGGGGCTGGACTTAACACTGGACCCCCCTGTAGGAGTTTGGGGGTACCACAGGGTAGGGTGTGGCTGGAGGGGTACAGCCTGGGGTGCATCCTCAGAGGACTGGCCATCACTCCTCCCCGCTATCCCAACAGAGGCAAGTGGGACACAGGCACCCTCAAATACTGTTTCACCGGGGAGGGGGTTCCTGGGTCTCCCAGCCTCAGCCCCATGCCCCTTCACGGTCACAGGAAGTGGCCAGGGGGTGGAGGAGCTCATGCCTCACCTTCTGTGTCCCTGTGTCCAACACCCATATTCAACGCACTCATGACTGAGGTGCCATGGGAGAATGAGAGGAACCCAGAAGGGGCTGCTGCGCTCAGAGTAGCCCCTTGCACAGTGGGGCCCCGGCCACGAGGGCAGCTGCCTGCTGGAGGGATGCTCTCTGAGCAAATCCCTGGGAGCAACAAGGGGAGGTGCTGGGTCACCCTTCCAGCTGCAGCTCTGCAGAGCCCAGGCCAGGCCCCTCTGCCTTCTCAAGGGCCCAGCCCCGTCTCAGGTCCTTTCCACAGTCCCTACTGCTGCCACCTCATTTGGCCTGCCTCCAATCCGCACATGCACATGGGGTCTTCCCTGCGCTAGGAAGAGCTCACAGTCCTGTATCTGTTCCATTACCCAAGACTTACAGCACCCACAGTTGGGCCTGCTGAGCTTGCCTTGCACTGTGGCTGGAACAGCCCAACCCTGGACCCCATAGGTGGGAACATGGTAGTGGAGAGTGAGTGGGCAGAGGAGATAGGAAGGGTCCGTGCAGAGCATCACAGCCACTCCGGTCCAGTCCCTGGCACAATGGAGCATGAGTGCCCCTCCCTGGCAGCGGTGGCACATGGTGAAAGTAGGTTTGCCAGTAGGCCTTGTGTGGCAGGGCAAAGCCACTGTGGGGTCCAGGAAGAGGAAGAGGAATAGGCAAGAACCCACATCCCCAGAGCAGCCCCTGAGACAGGATGGACATGAAGCAGGTGCAGGGCCTGAGGGCAACTAGCCAAACGGGACAACCCTGAGTGATGGCCAAAGTTCAGGGAACAGGGCTCATGTCAAGGCAGTGTGGTCAGCTCGGGCCCTATATCCAGCAGGACACACCTGGGCAGGTGCAAGTCAGGGTCCCCAAGGCCACAATCAGGCAAGAGCTCCCAGGTCCCACCCCAGTGCCCCCCACGTACTCAGCACCGAGCCCTCATTTTGTCTGCTGGATTCAAAGTCACATTCTTCACAAGGCAGGGGGAAGCCAGTATCTTGCCCAGTGACAGGCGAGTGGCTGGGGTGGGGAAAGTTGGCGCTCTGGGAGGTGTCATGAGGCCCTGAGGTTGGGGGAGTCACAGGATTAGGGAGTAAGTTGGCAGGTCTGAGGAGAGAGACAGGAGAACCCCTGATGGCAAAGGGCAAGCATGGGGGCCAGATCTCATCTCCAGGAGATGGGGAGGCTACAGGAAGGCACCCCTGTGGATGTCAAAATTGGGAGAAGGGAATTCCAGCAGATGGATTTGGTGTACTCTCCCGGGGTAGCCAGTGAATCACCATGACAGGGTGTGGTCATGGTAAAGCCTGGTTAGAAACTGTGCCCGTGGGCTCCTGCACGGGGAGTAAGCCCCAGCGTGACCGTGGACCGGACCTTTGCCCCTGTGGAGGTGCCCCAGAGAGAGCTGGGGGCACAGTGGCAAGTGGCCAATGCTTCCAGCAGTCCTCACAGGCTCTGGGCCTTGGTCCCATGGCCCACCTCCCACGGTGGCAGGGTGCAGGGTTGCAGAAGGAGCCCTCCTGAGTCCACCCCTCCCCAACACCAGTCTGTCTGTGCAGAGACCAGCAGCAGGCAGAGTCACGGGACCCCAAAGCTGTCTCCAATCATGGCCTAGGGCCCTAGCTGCCCAATTAGGGCAGTGCTAACCCCAACATAGCCACCTCTACGGGCAGAAAGAGGGGTGTCTGGGTGGGAGGTGGGGTGTGTACTGTAAGGAAATGAGCACGGGCTTCTAGGAAGGGGGTGAGTGAGCAGGATGTGGACTTGGGGGGGCGCAGGACAGGGATGGGACCAGGATGGGGAAAGGCCAGAAGGTCCCATCCTCGCCTGTATGCAAGCTTCCCACCATTTACAGAGTTGCAGCCCCAAACAGCCTGGCTGTCCTGTCAGTGGTTGTGACTTGCGGTGTCTGGCCCCTGGGGGCTGCACAGGGGGGACAGGCACTGTCGTGAGAATGGCGCCCAAGGCACAAGGGCTCCCACATAGTCTGGATGCTGGGTCACAGTAAGAGATGATGAACTGCCAGCCCGGTCGCAGCCTCTTCCACCACTGTGCTTCTATGCTCCCTCCATTTCCCCCAGCCTCAAGCCCTACCTTGAAGAACCGCGGGCCTCTCTCTGGTCAGAGGCTGCCATGTGGAGATCCCAGAGTGGGCGCAGGCAGCACAATGCGCACACACAGTGGGGAGCGAGGGGCTCGGCCAGCATGGAGGTGCCAGAGTGGGTGAGGCTGTTCCTTCTGGTGCTAACAGCCAAGTCAGGGAGCTCCTGAGCCAGGCTCATAGCCACCCAGAGCCTCCTTAATGTCTGTTAGGTAAATGAGGCCAGTGGCTGTGTGTGCACACAGTTAATGTTATTCTTTGACATTTCTCAGGCACCCATGTGGTGCCCCGGAACTTGTCCCAAGGAAGAGGGGAAATCTGTGATCCCAAACACCAGCAGGAGCCCCCAGCAGGTGCACACCACCTGGGCTCAGGGGGGAGTCCCTGGGACAAGTTCACATTCGAGGACCAGTGGAAGCATGCCACCAGGGAGGGGGTCCTGCCTCCTAGAACCCCTCTGTGGCCAACAGCAGATGGTTTCCTGGCCCTCCAGTCCTGTTGACAGGATGCTGGACTGGGTGCTGGGGCCACCCTGGCTGTCACCCCACGGAGCCCAGGCCCTTGCTGCTCCTGCATGCCTGTCTGCCTGCTGTGGAGCCCCTGGCCTAGACCCTGCTGGAAGCCCTCCTGGCGGGGGGGGGGGGTGGTCAGAAGCACAGCCCCCAGCTGTGACGGTCCTCCTGTGAGAAATGACAACTCCATTACCACGGGCAGGCAGTCTTTGCCTGTGTGGTTTCCAGGAACCCATTAGCGCTAATTACTCCTGCTGCGACTGTGACATTCCTAGACCACCGCTGCTGGCTGGTCTCGCCTTCTCCTTCACAAACATCAACTCCTCCGCCAGGTGCGGCTGCAGAGACACAGGCACCTCTGGGCTGCTATGCTCAAAAGGTCGGCCCTGCCCACCTCAGCCCTGGGCAGCGTTCAGGGACCTTCTCAATAAGGAACACGCAGGGTGGCAGGTGGAGCATGGGTTCCTGGGAATGACAGGGACCTCTGGGCCTTCCCTCCTCCCCTCCCCATGCACTTGGCTTCCTCTTGGTACAGACACAGAGTATGCAGGGGCCCTGCAGAGCGGGGGGTCTCTGTGAGGCAGCCCCTCATGAAGCTCCCCCCACCCAACACACCGGCACCACCAGGGAACCTGTGGATACCACCATCAGAGTCACTGCGGTCACCGTGGTGCTGGTGCCTCCGGCTGCGGTTAGCACGGTCATTGCCATGGTCATCAGTGAGACTGTGTGGTCAGGCAAGCCCTCCAAGCTGAAAGTGGAGATGGTAACTGGTGCCAGCTCTTGTCGGACACCTGGCCGCTGTCTGTCCTCACACAGGGAGGGATGCGTGGATGGTGGCTGTGAGCAGTTAACTGCTGTCAGAGGTGAGAGCTGCTGGCTCGCAGGGAGGCAGGAGGCATGGGTGTCCGACAGACACACATGTGCTGTGAACAAACCCAGAGGGGCCACAGCACACTGTGAAGGGGACAGCCAGAGTGGCACAGCTCGACAGCCGCACCCACAGGAATTTGGAGCTCCTGTGTGTACCCACACGGGGCAGGCTGGGGGTTCAGGCTGTACCAAGGAGGGCAGAAGGACCCAGCAGGGGCTCGGCTGGGGGAGGGGGCAGCGAGGCGAGGCTGGGGTTGGGGTCCTAGCCTGAGCCACCTCGAGTTAACACCAGCACCTTCCTCCGCCCAGAGTCGAATGGCAGAGAGCCTGCGGCTGTTCGACTCCATCTGCAACAACAACTGGTTCATCAACACCTCACTCATCCTCTTCCTGAACAAGAAGGACCTGCTGGCCGAGAAGATCCGGCGCATCCCGCTCACCATCTGCTTCCCCGAGTACAAGGGCCAGAACACGTACGAGGAGGCCGCCGTCTACATCCAGCGGCAGTTCGAGGACCTGAACCGCAATAAGGAGACCAAGGAGATCTACTCGCACTTCACCTGCGCCACTGACACCAGTAACATCCAGTTTGTGTTCGACGCCGTGACAGACGTCATCATCCAGAACAATCTCAAGTACATTGGCCTGTGCTGAGGCACCGGTGCCGCAGCCCACCTGCCAGGGATGAGACCAGTCACGGGGTGTCACACCCCAAACCCGTGCTAGAGAGGCCCCCTACCAAGGGCAGAGGCCTGGGGAGTGGCCCCCCCTCCCCATCTCCACAAACATACATATATACAGATAGATCGCTAGGTAAACACACACATGCACACGTCCACACGTCGGAGAAGATGAAGTTCTTGAAAGCGTCCAGGCGTCTCGCAAACTCCGGGGGACTGTCCCAAGTCCACCACTAGCCCATCCTGCCCCTTCACTTTGCCTTCCTGAGCGGGGGCTCCTCCACCTTCTGGGCGGAGGAGGTCCCGGCGGCTGCGGGGGGACTGCCCGGGGGGAGGCAGGGCCGGAGCCCAGGCTCTGGACTGGGCCACCTTGCTGCTGGCCTCACGTACTCACAGCTACTCTGCACCGTGTCCATTGCAGACTGGGGGACCCGGGGCGGGGGCACCACGTGACAGCACCAACCAGACCTCCAGCCACTCACAGCTCTTTTTAAACAGCTTCGAAATATGCAGCAAAAATCTGACACAATAAAATGAGTGGCACCACCGATCAATCTCAAAACTAGGCCGGCTGGGTTTCCAGCTTTTCTTGTACTACTAGTCTCATGATGTTTTATAAATTGAAATCTGGATTTTTTTTTTTTCCTTTTCTGACATCCCTGGTTTTTTTTTTTTTTTTTAATTATTATTATTTTTGGTTTTGGTTTGGTTTGGTTTTTTGGTTTTCTTGGCCAAACCTCGTGGGTGTTTCACAAAAAAGAAAAAACACAAAAATACAGGAAATATTTCCAATGCAGTCCGAGTATTCCTTTTTTAAAAAAAATTGCAGATTTTTTCAAAGCCTATTTTTTTTTTCTTTCAGGTGGTCCTTTCTTGTGTCTGGCTTGCCGAGTGTCCAAAAGTTGTCCACGTGGGCAGCCACGTGGCAGCCCCGTGGGCACACGTTTGTACATACGCCTCCTCTGCAGCGTGTGTCCTCTTGTTCTTGGTGCGGTTTCCCGCTTTGTTTTTATTTCAGAAAATAAACGTGTGATGTATTGAAGAGCAGTTCTTCACCTAGGAGCAGGTGGACTGACGGACGGGGAGCTGAGGGTCTCGGGAGCCCAAGTTCTGTGGCTTGGCCTGGGGAGGGGAAGGGATGGGAGCCGGGCCGGGCTGAGCCGTGACTCCTGTGAAGGCGCAGCAGTGTGGCCTGAGGGAGGCCCTGCTGAGACCCAGCCCCGGCCTTCCTGTCCCCCCACCCCTGCAGCGGAGGGGAGAATCCGTTCTCGCCCTGTATTCAGTAGCCAAGGTCAGCGGACCGAGTCACAGCCAAGGACTCTTGAGGGTCATACTGTGGGAAGGGGAAGAGAGGAGCCGAGAGGGTGAAGGGAAGTCACGGACTGTCTACTTTACGAAAAATAAAATATGCTGAATGGAGCCACACCTTGTCCCCGTGTGCTGTGTGTACAGCAGGCGCGTGCCTTCACCCACTCGGGATGCCCAGCTGTGGCCACCCTCCACACTTGGGGTTCTGTGCCTCTCCCTCGACCCTGCCCCCTCCCCACATTTAGATGATGACAGGGGTCATGTCCCTCCCTATCCTGTAGGCGCTCTGTCCAGGTGAGAGCCGTCCCCATAGAGCTCCCTATGTCAAAGAGGAGGGTACAGGGGAGATAGGGTCCCATGAGTGCTGAGTTGTCCCCCCACACACACTGGCCCTGCCATCCCCCTGCTCTGCCCATGGGTGGGTAGAGACCACAGGGAGCCCAGAGCCGGTCCCCAAGACTCCTGGACCTGGAGGGAAGTCCCATATGTGCATATACACAGGTACCTGCTCTGGGCCAACGTAACATGCACCTGGCTCTCCAGCCCCTCCGGAGTGAGCCCAGGCACCCCACACACATTCTCCTCACCCCTTCCCAGGTCCTCAGACAGCAAAAAATCTAATGGGACTTTAGTTTAAGGAGTCGCCTGTGGCCTGTTGTATTTTTTCACACCCATGGTGACTTGGTAATTTCGCGGTGGAATCACATAGCTAAAGTGGAAGGGAAGGGTTTCCCTGGGCTTCCCAGAGCCCAGCTCCCCACCATACTTCTGCACCCCTCCCCCTGGGACACCTGCCCAGGGGCAGGACACAAAGGGCTGTTGGCAGCTCCAGGTCTGGCACCACCTGACCTGCCTCCTGCCCGTGCCAGGCAGGGAAAGGCAATGAACTGGGAGGGTCCCAGAGAGGCGTAATGTGTATAAACATTGACAGATGGCCAACCTTGGCCTTGGTCAGGGTGGAGTTGGCGGGGGAGGGTGAGGAGGAGGAGGAGGAGAGGGTGCGAGCACCCAGAGACCAGCAGGGATGAATGGTGAGAGCAGGGCTGAGCTGGCCCCTGCCCAGGACATGGGGACACCGGGCTCTCTCACGAGGGCCTTGCGTCCTCACCTATAGTCTGAGTGCTCCCTGAGGCGGTACGGTGGGCCCAGGGCAGAGCTCAGCAGAATCCTGCACCAGTCCTGCAGTGTGTGCCTGCTACACGCCACACTGATCTAGTCAACACAGAGACCCTGAGCGGAGTGTGATGGGTGACCTGGCCAGGCCCTCAGGCAGCTCCTCCATGCGAATGTCACACACCTGCCTCACTTAGCCCAACCAGGGGCCTGCAAAGCTGAGCCAAGGTGCTTAAGGCCAGGGGCCGAGCTGTTTCAGCTCCCCGTGCATGCCCGTTTTGGTGGTTCTGTTTGTCACAAGCTGTTCTATTGTGAACCACTTGGGAATACTGCCCAAGGTTCGCTGGCCCGACGGAGTGATGCGGATAACCACTGAGACCCTGGCAGAGCTACACTGGGCCAAGGTAGGGAGAGCACCTGCAGGATGGACGTGGCCTTGAGGCACAGCCTGCATCAGCAACTCCTGGACCTGGCTGCTCCACCCCCACACTTCTCTCTAGTCCTAGATGCTGGCTCCCGCACCCCCAAAATATTCAGGCTCACAGCTGTACCCAGACATCTGTCCCGGCTGCACACCCCAGCCCAGGAGCCAGACTCCATATGCCAAAGGCAAGACCAGAATTTGGCCTTCCCGGCCCTGGTTGGTGCCATCCTCCAGGCCTGACTCAAGCTAGGGACCACCCAGGACACCCCATCACAGTGCACCCGGAACTGAACCAGCCTCTCAGAGCCTGCACAAGGAGGAGGTGGCAGAAGGAAAAGCCGGGTCAAACTCAGGGGGGGATCCCAGGGATGTTCAGATGTACCCCCAAAATGTACTTAGAGAAGAATTGGAGGTTTCCCCCTAAAAACACCTGGCCACACGAGGTCAGCAGAAGGCTCATGGGCAGCCCCTGCAGGCCGGCCGGCAGGTGGTCTGCCTGTGCTGACATTTGCCTTGATGATGCTGGTTTCTTCTTTCCTGGCCCATCAGAGGAACGGCAGGGAGGCCCAGCCTCTCCCAGGCCAAGGACCCGTCAGGACACTCAGCAGTCCTGGAGCTCCTCCTGGTGTTTACTGAGAGAAATCGCACAGCGATTCAAACCTGATAGGGCTTGGGGATGCCGGCACCTTTCAGCTTTTCTCCTGCAGAGGCACAGTGGCTTGGACAGAACAAGGGTCCAACACACCTTTGTTGAATGGATAGGCGTGCAGGTGGATAAATTTTAGCTAGGCAATGGCAAATGATTCTTAAGAATATGGATGTATGGGCCTGACACAGTAGCTTAGCAGCTAAAGTCCTCACTTTGCACGAGCCAGGATCCAATATTAGCACTGGTGTCCTGGTGGTCCCACTTCCCATCCAGCTCCCTGCTTGTGACCTGGGAAAGCAGTCGAGGACGGCCCAAAGCCTTGGGTCCCTGCACCTGCATGGGAGACCCAGGCCAGACTGCTGGCTCCTGGCTTTGGATCGGCTCAGCTCCAGCCATTACAGCCACTTGGGCAGTGAACCAGCAGACAGAAGATCTTCCCTTCTGTATATCTGACTTTCCAATAAAAATAAATAAATATTTTTAAAGAATATGGACGTAACAGGGGCTGGCGTTTAATGTAACCCACACACCTGCCTCAAGTCCTGGCTGCTCTGCTTCCAATGTATATCCTGGGTGGTGATGCCTCTAGTACTGGGTCCCTTCCTCCCACGTGTACAGAGGCGCTTCTGACTCCTGGCTTTGGCCTGGCCCCGGCTGTCGCAGTCATTTGGGGAATAATCAAGCCTAGAGCTAACTGGAGGAGAGGGTGTGTGCGATTGTAAGACGGGGAGAGGTCTTGTGGAATAGCCATGGAGGACCCCTGGTATGCCAGCAGCTACCAGCACCCACTAGAAGCCAGCTGAATCCTCCCTGTGCCCAGCAAAACCAACATGGGTGCCACTCAGGCTCACTTGGATTCTCTTAAACAGCACCCCCACACACACACCAAATACTCATAGAACAGGTTGGTGAATTCCGTGACATGAATCAAACAGAAAGCTGCTGAGCCAACAGATTGATGCATAAAGAGCAAAGAGCTGTGCGGACAGATGATGTAGGACGTGAGAGTGCTGCGCAGGCAGACAACCGACAAGTGGCTGGAATCCCGGGAAAAGGATGCCATGCTCCCTCGAATTCACAAGAAACGGAAAAACCCAGCTGGTGGATGGCACAGGCCCCAGGACTCTCCAGAGATGCTCGTCAGGAGCCAGGCAGAAGGAAAGATGTTCCTCAGACACGGAGGGGAGAGCAAAGCCATGCAGCAGTGGACACACACAGCACAGCTGGGTTCTCTCGCCCATTGGCAGAGGGTCAGCTCAAGGCAGGCGTGTGTCCTGGGTGGCCTGGAGATGCCTTCCCCTCCCCGCTGCAGAAGAGACCCTCCAGGGACTGTCCCTGACCAGAGGACTAGAGCAGGTGGACTGCTGTTCCCCCACACTCCGCCTTCTGCAGTGCACCTGCCTGTCAGTAGGGGGAGTCTCCACCTGCACCTGCTGACCCACCTGGAGAAGGCCCCAGGCGACAAAGTGACTTTTCTTTTTCTTTTTTTTTAAGGTCTTCTAAGAGCGAAACAAATTCACACAAGCTAGATTCATTTACATTGTGTTTCCACACACGCCAAGCAAAGGGAGGGTCCATGGGAAAGTGAAGTTACAGTTATGGGAAAATGGGACATGCTTTTGAAGACAGTCACCCTAGGATGGGTGGCTGGGCTGTGGAGGCGGGGTGCTGGGACGCGGGAGGGCCGTGGGCTGTATACACCGCAGCTGGGAGGGGTGTTGATCAGAAATCGTGGGCAGGTCTGAAAGATGGGAGGAGGGTGAGATTCAGCAGAGCTGCCCCTGCAGTCCTCACTATCGTCTCGTGCGTCTCAGAAGGCTGGACGGGGTCTCAATCATTGTACCAGCCCCAGAAGCAGCGCCGCCATCCCTCCTCCCCCTAAGGACTGGAGAGCAAGACCTAGGTTCTCATCCTCGGGTTTGTCGTTTAAGCTCAGCCCCAGCCCTGGTCCTCCTGGGAGACACCTGCTATTCCATCAGCTATCAACTCCAAGCACACATACGTGAGAGTCCTCCAAAATGTATTTTAGAAATCTGAGCAGGTTTGGGTGGGGGCGGCATTGTGATGTGGCAGATTAAACCTGTGCTTTCAATGCCAGTATCCACATGGTTCTAGTCCTGGCTGCTCGCTGCTAAGGAAAACAGCAGAAGACGGTGCAAGTCTTAGAACTTCTGCTGCTCATGTGGAAGACCCAGACGGAGAGCTCCAGGGTCCTGGTTTCAGCCTGAGCAGCTCTAGCCGGTGGGGCCGTTTGGGGATTAAGCCAGGAGATGAAAGATCTCTCGCTCTGTATGCATGTATGTGCTGGTAGGTGGGTGTGTTTCTCTGTCATTCTCCCCTTCAAATAAATCAATCTGTAAACTTGTATCTCTTTAACTGCCAGGGAAATGCAAGTTAAAACCAAAGTGAGACACTGCTCCAACACCTTCCCAAATAGCTAGAACGCAAAGAAAGATCAAGTTGTTGGTGAGGACGTAGCTAGAAAAGCATGTGGCCCTTCCTTCTAAAACTGTTCTGTCCCTAGGTACATCTTGGGATAAACGCATACACACAGTCCAGACAGAAGTGTGTTGCTGCCCATCACACCGGTCATCACAATCCAGAAGCGGCCCAAATGTCCAACAGATATGGAATGGGAAAATTGCAGTTCAAGAGAATTCTCACACCAGTCGAGGAAAATGAGAATTAAACCAATTGTTCCCAATCAGCACTGTGACACTGCCAGTAGCATCATCACTTGTGAGGCCGACAGCCTACACCCGAGCGCTGGTTCCGCTTCCGGTGCAACTCCACCGTGTACTTGGGAAAGCAGCCGGAGGATTGGCTTGGCACAGCCCCAGCCACAATGGCCATTTCCTTTTTTAGATAAACAAATTTAGATAAACAAAAAACCTGAATGAGTTTCCAAATGTTTGGCACCCACACAGACCTACCACTTGATTCCATTTTCCCATGAACTTTTTAAAGTCCCCTGCCCAGGAGCCCCCGGCACGGTCTCCGGCTCCACCTGCAGGACGCGCGCCTACCTGCAGGCAGCTCAGCCAGGTGCTTGTAAGCCTGGTGCAGGTTCCGCCGGCAGATGTGGTGGGGCTCGTTGAGCAGAGAGGACAGGGCCAGGATGACGCCGCACTCCAGAAAGCCGTTCCTAGACAAGGAAGGTGGATTCAGGCCCGACCGGAACCCTGCCCACGCAGAATCAAGGGAGGGCAGTGCTGTCAGCTGCCGCTGCTGGGGGGCAGGTGGGGGGGTGTGGGAGTCGCATCTCTGGCTCAGCGTGAGAGCGCACGGAGGCCGGAGATGGGCATTGCCTTGAGCGACTTCCTGCAGGAGATCCTTGGGGCTCAGCGGGGAACCAAGGGCTGGCGCTGTGGCGTGGGGGTAGAGTGGGGTGGAGTCAGTCTTAAGCCAACGCCTGGAGCGCCGCCATGCCCTGCTCGACTTGCCATCCAGCTGCTTGCTAATGCGCCTGGAGAAGCAGCTGTGGAAAGACGGCCTGAGACCCACCACCCACGTGGGAGATCTGGATGGAGTTCCAGACTCCTGGCTTCAGCCTGGTCTGCCCCAGCAGTTTGGGACTGCAACAACAAATGGAAGATCTCTGTCACTCTGCCTTATATAGAAACCATATATATGGGTGGTTTTTTTTTTTTTAAATCAAAACTACAAATCAAATAAATGTGGTTTAAGCAAAAACACATCAACATTGCGGGAAACAGCAGCCAGCTGACCCATATCCTGGAAAAGATCTGGGTCACACAGTGGAATTCACTAATGTTTGTCACCTATATTTGGATTTTTTTTTTAAATGAGCGATGTAAAGGAAGTACAGCATTATTATAATTCCTTGCTTTGTAAACATTTCCTCTGATGCGCCAGCTGGCCCTGGGGCCTGCCTATCCGCAGGGGGCCAGAAGAGGTTTCGGGGGTCACCTCTCTCAAGGCTGGGTCCCATGAAGCCCTCAGCCAAATGCCCGGCACACAGGCAGTACGTGGCAGTGAGACTGCAATAATAGCGGTCAAGACTTAACCATGCAGCATATTGCCATGTTCTCACTCATTCTGGCAGAATCAGAAAAAAATAAAATCACAGGACCCCAGGGGTCCTCCCTGACTGCCCGATCCTCCTCCCTCAGTGCCCACCCAGTCACGCAGTTCCTGTTGTCTCTAACTGTAGCATGTGCCCCCTTCCACACTGGCAGGCAGCCAGGCAGGCAGGGTACAGGGCAGAGACGGGGCCACCCAGGGATGCTCCAGATGCATGGGATGTCATGGAAAGGGCAGAGGGGAATGCTGCTAAAAAGCAATGTCCATATCAGGAGCAGAAACGGAGGGAGCGAGGACAGGGAAGGTAAGAGAAGCTTAGCTCCATGTGTTGGTATCTTACTATTATTACTATTTATTTATTTAAGAGGCAAGGTGTTGGCATTGTGCCCTACAGGCTAAAGCTGCTACCTAGGAGGCTGAAATCCCATAGAGGCACAGGCTCGAGTCCCAGCTGTTCCACTTCCCATCCAGCTCCCTGCTAATGTGCCTGGGAAAGCAGCAGAGGATGGCCCAAGGGCTTGGGACGCTGCACCTGCATGGGAGATCCAGAAGAAGCTCCTGAATTTGGATCAGTTCAACTCTGATAGTTGCAGTCCTTCGGAGAGTGGACCAGAGGATGGAAGATCTTTCTGTCTCTCTTTTCTGTAAAGTCTGCCTTCCAAATAAAAATAAATAAATATTTTTAAAAATATTTATGTATTTGAAAGACAGAGATTCATTGCCCACATGGTCACCACAGCTGGATCTGGCTGTGCTGGAGCCAGGGGCTTTATCCAAGAACCCAAGCCCTTGGGCTGTCCTCTACTGCCTTCCCAAGCATATCAGCAAGGGAGATGGACTGGAAGCAGAACAGCTGGAACTCGAACCAAGGCTCCAGTATGGGATACCCACATCACAGGTGACAGCTTAACTTGCTATACCCCAACTTCTCTTTACACTTCCCACAGACAACATGGACCCTTGTAGAAGCTCCCCTCCCCTACCCCAGAAGACCAATACAACAGACAAAAATTCAAAGCTGTCAGAGCTCTCCACACCAATCACGGTCATTCACATCGGGGGAGGAGCACGACCCTGGGTTTCCAGGAACAGCTGCTCACCTGCCCACGTTGTGGGTGGCCATAATGTAGAGCACCTCAGTGGTTTTGATCCGCACCACGTCATCGCTGTCTTTTATCAAGGCCTTCAGGCTCTCCAGGCAGCCTGCGGGAGACAGAAAAACCTGTGAACACCAGCCAGGAAGCCTGCATGCGGATGGTAAGAAAGGACCAGAGGGGCCCGATGTCATGTTCTAGCAGCTGAGGTTCTCCCCTTGAGCACGCGCCCGCATCCCATATGGGCGCCGGTTCTAGTCTCGGCAGCCCCACTTCCCATCCAGCTCCCTGCTTGTGGCCTGAGAAAGCAGTCAAGGATGGCCCAAAGCCTTGGGAGACCTGGAGGGGGCTCCTGGCTTCGGACAGGCACAGCTCCGGCCGTTGCAGTCACTTGGGGAGTGAATTGTCGGACAGAGGATCTTCCTCTCTGTCTCTCCTCCTCTCTGTATATCTGACTTTGCAATAAAAATAAATAAATTTTTAAAAAAGAAAAAGAAAAGGAAGTACCAGAGGTTCTGCTGTTTGGGGCCTTGGGGTCACACAGTAATTCACAATCATTTTGTATAGTGTAAGAAGCCTCTACCATAGTGCTGGCATTCAATATGAATGCTGGTTCAAGTCCCGGCTACCCCACTTCCTAACCAGCTGCCTACTAGTGCACCTGGAGAAGCAGGAGTAAAACAAACAAACAAGCCTCAAGTCCTTCAGCCCCTACATCCCTGTAGGAGACCAAAAAGAAGCTCCTGGTTTGGGGACCAGCTCAGCACTAGCCATGGTAGTCATTAGGGGAGTGAATCAGCAGATGGAAGATCTTTCTGTCTCTCCTTTCTGTAAATCTGCCTTTCAAATAAATAAATGACTTTAAAAAGAAGAGAAAATGGCCCTTGGAGTAACTCTGACCCTGGGCAAGACAAAGGGTCACAGGTCACATTACAGCCCCTGTCCCAAACTAGTCACATGATCTTGAATGAACTCACTGCTCAGGCAGCTCCGTATTCCTCACCCTCTCCCTGCACCTGTGTGTTTTATAATCTATTGGCGGAGGATGCGCCCTTGGTCTGCAGGTGGATGCTACAAGGACTGACACAATGTGGATCCTGGACTGGTCCAGAGCTAGGCTGATTAGGGCCATGACCCCTCACCTATGTGGATGGCCTCGAAGACATACTCAGGGTCATGCATAAGGTCACACAGGGCCACCAGGGCTTTCTGCCTGGTCAGTAGGTCCTCCGACTGCAGCTCCCGGTTCAGCTTCGGCAGGGCCCGGCAGCCATAGGCGACAGGTGCCTGGGTGGGGTTGATGTCAGGTGGCAGGTACATGGAGATCTGAGCTCGGGCCATCTCTCCACACAGGCAAATGACACTCAGCACAAATCACTGATGAAAAGAACAACAAATGCTGTCATTATTCACGGTGATTTAGAAGCCCCTTTTTAAAATTTATTTTTATTGGAAAGTCAGATGTATAAAGAGAAGGGACAGAGAGGAACATCTGATGATTCACTCCGCAACTGGCCTCAACGGCTGCAGCTGAGCTGTTCTGAAACCAGGAGTCAGGAGCTTCTTCTGGTTCTCCCACATGGGTGCAGGGTCCCAAGGCTTTGGGCTGTCCTCAACTGCTTTCCCAGGCCACAGGCAGGGAACTGGATAGGAAGCAGGGCTGCTGGGATTAGAACCGGCACCCATATGGGATCCTGGCACGTGCAAGGCCAGGACTTTAACTGCTAGGCTACCATACCAGGCCCTAGAAGCTACTTCTCATCAAACCTTCCCAACCATGAGCCAAAGCAGGAAAGAACTTTTCTATCCATTTTACAGAGGAGTGTATTGAGGCTGAGAGCAGTGAAGGGACTGTCGGAGCTCATGGTGAAGGTAAACTCTAGGATCGGTCCATCAGCAGTGTTTAATCACATGTGGAACCACAGATGCTCTATAGTTTGACCTTCAGTAGAAGTTAACCAAGGCCCGGTGCTGTGCATATAACAAGCTAAGCCTCAGTCTTTGGTGCCAGCGTCCTATACGGGCACTGATGTGAGTCCGGGCTGCTCCATCTCTGATCCAGCTCCCTGCTTATGGCCTGGGAAAGCAGCAGAGGATGGGAAACCACATGAATTTCAGGTTTGTTTGGTTGTTTTTTTTTGCGACAACATACATGTTTCAATTTCAATTACTTCAGACTTTGGGAAGATAGCTCATAGTATCTGTTGTTGGCAAATAAGGAAACTGAAGTTGCCGCGCCAGCAAGGCTAGGAGCTGCGGTCAAACAGCTAGCTCACCCTTAGGACATCACACTCAAACACTTCCAACACAACCCTCAAAAGGGGATGAAGGCAGTCTGGCGTGGTAGCCTAGTGGCTGAACTCCTTACCTTGCAGGCACCAAGGTCCCATATGGGCACCATTTGTGTCCTGGCTGCTCCACTTCCCATCCAGCTCCCTGCTTGTGGCCTGGGAAAGCAGCCGAGGACGGCCCAAAGCCTTGGGACCCTGTACCTGCGTGGGAAACCCAGAAGCTCCTGGCTCCTGGCTTCGGATTGGCTCAGCTCTGAGTGTTGTGGCCACTTGAGGAGTGAATCATCAGAAAGAAAATCTTCCCTCTGTCTCTCCTCCTGTCTGTTTATATGACTTTCCAATAAATAAATAAATAAATAAATAAACATTTTTTTTTTTAAAAAAAAGGAAATGAAGGCTAAGAAGGTTTGTTTGCATCCTCCACACACACTCTGGGCAACTCCATTCATTGCGACTTAGTAGTTAAGAAGTGACTGCACGAACAGATGGTTAGCACCCAAATCCTCGGGCCCCTGCACCCACAGTGAGACCTGGATCGAGTTCTAGTCAGCCTGTCGTGAACATTGAGTTGTTGGTGCAGAATGTGACTGAATCAGCCAGTCAAATGGCCCACCCCTTGAGTCACTACCTTTCAAACAAACAAAAATAATTAATTTAGGGAGAACTCGTTCCAGACTCAGGTGACCGGTGGCTCTCAGCAAGTTATTTCCTTGTTCTGTTGCTCTCCACACCGAACACAGGGTCGTGCACGTAGCACCTGCCTCTCTCCTCTCCAGAAAAATCCTGCGGGCTCTTACGCAAGGGCCGGACTCCCTCAGAGCTCCAGATAAGACCGCAGGGGTCATCAGAGAGAGGACTTGGCCATATGGCTGAACCCCAGTCCCACAGGAATCTACTCCAGCAAAAAGTGAGCAAAACGCAGAGACCCCTAACATCAAGTGGGCCCCTCAGCCTGGAAGGGAGCAGGACATGGCCACGTCTGTAACATGGGCCTCCCTAGCAGGGGACGGTAGGTTCTGGGGCACAAGGGCCTGAGGGGTAAAAGAGCTATTTGGGGGATAACATTTTGGGGACACACGCTCTCTGTGAACGAGACTGGGTGGGTCAGAGGACCCGCCTCATCCCTCCCACCCCAGGCCCCATCGGGCCGCCTCACCTGTCTCACAGCCAGGAGCGGCCCTCTTGGCGCCCACGCCCGTTGCTAGGTGACCCGGTTGCTAGGCGATCCCCAGAGCGTCCACCGCGCCGCGAGCAGCTCCTTCCTGCGGGCTCTGCGCACGCGCGCACAGCCCCGTCGGCTTGGACCAGCCGCCGAGATTAGAATATTCTACAGGGTTACTCTGAGGAACAAAGGCGGCTCCCTATTGTCCCCATTCCTGGGTACTTCGCAAGTCTTTGAGCTTCAGATCAAATTGCTTCAAATTTAGGGGCAAGCATCTTAAAGGGTCAGTAAGTAGCTTACCCTCAATCACACAGAGCTGACCCCAGGGCTGCTCATCTCTGGCCCACGCTAATTAAAAAAATAAATAAATGAAGATTGATTTATTGATTTGGAAGGCAAAGTGACACAGACAGGAGAAAAAAGCGATCTTCCGTTTGCTGGCTCACTACCCAGATAGCTGGGACTGGGCCAAGCCAGGAACTGCCACTCCATCCAAGCTACCACACGCCCAGCAAGTGCAAGACACACGAGGGATGTTCAAATGAGACAGGCTCAACGGGATTTGAAAGCGTGTTCACTGTAAGGACCAAGTCCCGAGGGATCTCTGAAAATATAGAGCTGTCCTGTATTTTTAGAACTATATGGGGCTATGCCATATGGGAACTGGTTCGAATCCCAGCTGTTCCACTTCCCAGCCAGCTCCCTGCTAATGTGCCCGGGAAAGCAGCAGAGGATGGCCCAGGCCTTTGGGACCCTGCAACCCACATGGGAGACCCGGAAGAAGCTGCTGGCTCCTGGCTTTGATTTGGCCCCGTCCTGGGTCTTGCAGCCTTTTGGGGAGTGAACCAGCAGTTCATCAACCAGATGGAAGAGCTCACCCTGTCTCTCCTTCTCTCTGTAGATCTACCTTTCCAATAAATAAATAATGCAAAACAGAAATGATGGTGTACAGTCTGAAAGTCAGGCTGTCTCGTTCCAACTGGAGTTCTAACTCAATTTATCGGCTTATCTGCGCAACAAGCCAGCCCAGGGCTGCTGACAAGGTCTTTTTCGTTATGGAAATTAGCTTGCAGGGGGGTTCCGTGACTAGGATCAGCCCTTCGGCCGCCATTAATTAAGGAAATTAATTTTGTAGCAGGAACTCCAGCAGCCGGGCATATGTCCTGCAGGCAACGCTAGATTCACAATTATGCAAATGAAGGTCAGGAGACGGCAGACCTGTCCATTCTCTTGTCGTGGCTGGCTGCTCAACTCCCATCAAATACCAGAAACGACTGCCAGTTCAGCTATCATGATGGCCCCGGGGCGGGGGTAGCAACCCAGACGGGCACCAGCACCTGCCGCACGTCCGTCCATCCCTCCGCCCGGTGGCCTCCGGGGCCTCCGAGGCTCCGCCCTCCGCCTGCCAATCCAGCCCCGCCTGCCAATCCAGTCCCGCCTGCCGACCCGGCTCCGCCCTCGTTGCCATGGTGGTCGCCGGTCCAGTCAGCCTCGCCGGCCTCGCCCCCGACGTCGGAGATTGGACCCTCTGCCTGTCAATCCAGTCCCCGCCAGCGATGCAGCCCCGCCCTCGTTGCCGTGGTGCTCCTCGGCCGCTCGCGGGGAGGCGCCCGTTGCCATGGTGGTCGCCGGTCCAGTCAGCCTCGCCGGCCTCGCCCCCGACGTCGGGGATTGGCCGGAGTCCCTTCCACGGTTCCCGCGTGGCCGCGTTGCCGGAGTGACCCGGGCCGCGGGCGGGCAGAGGAAGCCGCGCGCCGCGCGCCGCTTGCAGCCTCCGCCACCACCGGCACCAGCCGCCCTGGGTAAGTCCTGCCCCTGCTCGGTGCCCGCACGGCCCGGGAGGCCGAGGCCGCGTTCTCCACTCCCGTGTCTCACCCCCTCCCGCTCCCGCTCACCCGAACCCCCTCCAGGGGCGTCCTCATTTCCAGAGGACCCTGAACCCTGGCCTGCCCAGCCCGCCACCCCAGGCCTGCCCAGCCCGCCACCCCAGCCCGGCCTCTGAGGGAGCTGAGGACCACGAAGAAGGTCAAGGCCACCTTAGTGGACAGAGGAAGCTGGACAGGAAAAGGGAGATGGAGGAGGGTTCTGGAGCAGGCTTGAGCAGGGGAAGGGATGGGGGGGGGCGGGGTGCAGCCAGGGCTTTCTAGGAAAAAGCTGAAACTTCCTCTGTCCTTTTGGATCCGCCCAGGTTACAGCAGGCACCCCTCCTTCACCCCATGTGTACCCCACTCTCCCTGTTTGTACCCTGCCTGGTGATGCTAGCATGTGGAGCGAGCTCTGGGAGGCAGGTCCCTCTCCGGGGGAGATGGGCAGAAAGCAGCAGGCTTACCCACTTCATGCACCTCCCTACTGCTGGCACCTTGGACGGGGAGGAGCCCAAGTTCCTCTGTAAGAGGGCGACTTGATTCAGGTCGTTTCACGCTGGTGGAAAGTGAGGCAGACACTTGGGGGCGTGAGGCCCCAGGTTCACCTCACCGCCTTCCACAAGGTAAAACTGCAGGCAGTGTCAGCCGGGTCTTAATTGGCTTGGGTTTGCAAGCGTAGGGTTGAGCAACCCCTCGCTTTTCTAGAACCAGTGAGCCGAGCCGAGGGGGTGGGTTCTATAGGCTCAGCGCTGCAATAGGAGACAGAAGGTTGGTGTGGGTCACTCTGAAAGGACTTTGTTTCCTCAGAGGGTTGAAGCAGGGAGGGCCCTCCTGGCCCCACTGATGCTCATCGGTAGGCTGCTCTGTGTGTGTGTGTGTGTGTGTGTGTGTGTGTGTGTGTGTGTGTGTGTGTGTTGGATTTGCTTTGATGCCACTGCACTTGACCCAGTCTAAGGGACCCCTTTTGTTCTGTTGCTCACTTTCTTCCTCCCATTCCGGGCCCACAGGACACGGGAACAATGAGGTCATCCTTGACACCCTTGGGGTTCCCTGTAAGCCGGGACCGCATCATCGCCAGCTTCCCTAAGGTAAGGTCCCCCCAGGGTGGGAGGCCACAGTGCCCATTGCCCGCACTTGGCTGCCTTCTCCCAGTAAAGCAGGTGAACCAGGGAGGCCTGTGCCCCACCCCACCGACGAGTCGTCTTGAGAAAACGGGGTGCTGACTTGCCCAAAGCAGACTGGCAGTTTATGGTGGACGCCAGGCGTGTGTCACACAGGGCCGTGGGCCCCAGAGGTTCTAAAGGCTCTGATTTTATCATCCTGAATCGCTGTGCTGTGTGAGTGTGGCAGTCACTCAGACGCCCACAAGGGTAACTCATGGCAGAGCAGGTACACGGATCCCCTTGGCATGCCCGCGTCTCCTCTCCGAGTGCCAGCCCCGCTTCCGACTTCAGCGTCTCGCTAGTGTGCACACTGGGACTGGCGAGGGATGACCCTCAGTACTCGATTCCTGGCCACACGTGTAGCAAACCCAGATTGAATTCTGAGTTTCTGGCTTCAGACTGGCCAACCCCACCTGTTGCAGGCATTTGGGGGTCAAACAGAAGATGTTCCCTCTCTGCCTTTAAAATAAACAGATACGTTTTTAGAAATTATAATGTACCATTAATTGCAACAAGAAATGCAAATCAGCATAACCCCCAAGGCAGCAGTGCAATAGTACTTGCCCACATTGCCAAGGCCCTGCCTGCTGGTTCAGCCGTTCAGGCTGCCACAGGGGTACAGTGTGAACAAGGAAAACAGCTACTGTAGTTCATTTTTTTTTAAAAGATTTATTTATTTATTTAGTTAGTTTGTTACAAAGTCAGATATACAGAGAGGAGGAGAGACAGAGAGGAAGATCTTCTGTCTGATGATTCACTCCCCAAGTGGCCCCAGCAGTTAGAGCTGAGCAGATCCAAAGCCAGGAATTCAGGAGCTTCTTCCGGGTCTCCCACATGGGTATAGGATCTCAAAGTTTTGGGTCGTCCTTGACTGCCTTCCCAGGCCACAAGCAGGTAGCTGGATGGGAAGTGGGGCTGCTGGGATTAGAACCTGCATCCGTATAGGATCCCAGAGTGTAGAAGGCTTTAGCCACTAGGCTACTGCACTGGGCTCTTAAGCCACCACTTGTAAAGCTGGCATCCTATAAGGGTGCTGATTTGAGTCCTGGCTGCTCCACTTTCTACTTCCATTCCTGCTCCCTGCTTACATATCTGGGAAAGCAGTGGAGGATGGCCCAAGGACTTGGGTTCCTGCATCCTTGTGGGAGACCTGGATGAAGGTTCTGGCTCCTGGCTCCTGGCTTTGGCCTGGCCCAGCCCTGGCCATCATCACGCTTAGGGAGTGTGGACATACGGAAGATCTCTCTCTTTCTCTGCCCTCTTCTCTGAAATGCTTTCAAATAAATCTTATAAAAGTGCAAGGAACGAAGTAGTGTGTGATCGCATGTGTGTAGCATGCTCTCTGTGTTCCAAAAAGAAAGTAGACAAAACAAACTTCTGTGTTTATTTATACAGCAAATATTTCTGGAAGGATCCGTAACAACGTATTGTACATGGTAACCTGCATGTCGCCCCAGATAGGCATGAAGGAAAAAATTGTCCTGTGGAATAATGTTTGATTTCATTTATTATTTTAGTTGAGAGATGGTGGCACAGTGGTGGGAGCTTCTGTGTGCCAGTTGACTTCCTAGATCCTTGCAACATCCAGGACTGGGCCAGAGCTAAAGCTGTGTGCTGGCAACTCCATTCAGGGCTCTCCCGTGGGTGGCAGGGGTGCAGTGACTTGTGCCATCCCCACGGCCTCCCAGGGTCTGCATTGGAGGGAAGCTGGAGCTGGGACGGGACTGTGATGTGTCAGGGGCACCGAAGGGAGGGCACCGATGATCTAATGCCTTCTGTATCTTAGACACAAAGAGCTGAGCATGGCCAAGTGCTGACTTGCCCAGTTCGTGGTGGACACTGGCCATGTGTCGCTCAGGGCCATGCGGCTCAGAGATCCTCAGGGCTCTGACTTGATAATCCTGAATGATTGCGCTGTGTGACCCGCAGTTACTCAGCCGCCTACAGCTGCTGTCCTCTTTCTGTTCTTAAGTCCTTGTTAACGTGTTTATTGGAAAGGCAGAATGACACAGAGAGACGGAGAGAGGGAGATCTTCCAAGTACTGACTCGTGCCCCAAATCCCCTCATACACACAGGCCTGGGTCCGGTGGGAAGCCAGGCTGGGTCTCCCACCTTCATGTCAAGGGACAAGTACTCGAGCCATCACCTGCTGCCTGCCAGGGTGCACATAAGCAGGAGGCTGGACCGGCAGCAGAGCTGGGACTCGAACCCTGGCACTCCAGTATGGGATGTAGGCATCTCCATTGGCAGCTGAACTGCTGTACCACACACCTGCCCTTTCCTCTTCCTTCAACTCCCCAACACACACACACTCCGAGTTCCTGCCCCACACCCCCTTGGAGTTCCCGTCACAGCAGACTCAGACAATGGCTTTCCCTGTGCCATGGACAGTGAGTGGTAGCAGAGACGACAAGGATCGGTGTTTACAGAGTCCAGAGGAAGAGGAGTGTGTGTGGGTGGCACCAACAGTGTGGGTGGCACCAACAGTTCGGGTCTCGTGGGACAAGGGAACCCGTTTCCAGAGCAGGATGGCGAGCTGGCTCAGGGCTCCCCGCCCCTCTTTCATGAAGTTGCTGATGCTGCATCTTGCGTGAGCGTGGGATGCTCAGCTTGGCTGGTGACCAGCGTGACTCAGTCACACCCCCCCACTTCGCGGCCACATGAAAGGGTGCTGTCCTGAGCATGCCCATTTTACAGGTAAGCAAACTGGAACCCAGAGAGGTATCATCTTGTGTCCCTTACAGAGGGACAGAGACAAGAGTCCAGGGCAGTGTAGCCTGACACCAAGGAGCCCTGCTTCCCATAGCCTTAGCTTGCTCTGTACCTAACCTTGACCAACCTTCTCCCAAAATATCAAGGTCACCATTAATTTAACACATTCTTCTCCTTTTGTTAAGATTTAGTTATTTTTATTGGAACGGCAGACTTACAGAGAGAAGGAGAAGCAAAGATCTTCCATCCATTTGTTCACTCCCCAGCTGGCTGCAACAGCCAGGACTGAGCTGATCCAAAGCCAGGAGCTTCTTCTGGGTCTCCCACATGGATGCAGTGTCCCAAGGCTTTGGGCCATCCTCCACTGCTGTCTCAGGCCATAAGCAGGATGGGAAGCACTGGAGCAGCCAGGACATGAACTGGCATCCATATAGGATGCCAGCACTTAGAGGGTTAACTAGTTGAGTCATTGCTGCAGCCCCAATATGTTTTTCTAATTACCAAGCAGGTGTGCATTCTGTGTGTGTGCTCATGACTTTTAAAAATTATTTTCTTTATCTGATAGATTTATTTATTTGTGAAAGTGATAGAAAGCGAGGGAAAGTCAAGAGAGATCAAGAGAACTTGCCATCGGCTGGTTCACCCCGCTGCTGTCTGCCACAGCCTGGGCAGTTCCAGGCCAAAGCCAGGAGCCCCAAACTCCACCTAGACCTACCCTGTGGGTGACAGGGGCCCTGAACATGAACGGTCCTCGCTGCTTTCCCAGGGACATTATTAGCAAGGAGCTGATCAAAAGCAGAACAGTCGAGATTCGAACCAGCACCCCAAATAAACCAGAACTGGCTAAACCTGGAACTCAGTGTGGGTCTCCATGGCAGGGACCTGGTAACTTGTGCCGTCACGGCTGCCACCCAGAATCCCTGCTGTCAGGAAGCTGGAGCCGGTACCTAAGCTGGATGTAGAGCCCATGCGCACTAATGCTGTGCATCATCCTGTCTTAAGAGCCGTGGCCGCTTGGTGCACATTCAGTATGCACCAGCTGCTGATGCCTTTATTTTGGAAGATGTATCATATTTTTTTCACCTAGGGCTGGTGAAATAGTGGCAAGTGAGGAATATCACTCACCTCTTTGGCCAGTGCTCACTGCAATTTTTCTGATATGTGCTTGGAAAAAAAATTGTGTATTTGAAAGGCAAAGTTACAGAGTTAGAATGAAAGAGAGACAGGGAGAGAGAGGATCTCCCATCCACTAATTCACTCCCTAAATGGCTCTAACATCCAGGGCTGGGCCGGGCAGAAACACAATCCAGGAGCTTCCTTTGGATCTCCCAAGCGCGTGCAGGGACCCAAGGAGTTGGCCTTCTGCTGCTGCTGCTTTCCAAGGAGAGATGGAGATCTGCCAACCACCGGTTCACTCCCCAAGTAGCCACAGTGACAAGTGCTGAGCCAATCCAAAGCCAGGAGCCAGGAACTTCTTCTGGGTCTCCCATGTGAGTGCAGAGCCACCAGCTGCTGCTTTCCCAGGCCACAAGCAGGGAGCTGCATGGGAAGTGGAGCAGCCAGGACTTGCACCGGTGCCCATATAGGAGACCAGCACGATAGGCAGAGGATTAGCCTGCCACACCATGCCGCTGGCCCTTGCTGATGGCTTTACAAGCAATACATATATCATTTTTAGTCCCCAAGTCTCTGATGGGAAAGTTAGGGCTCAGAGAAGTTGGGTAACTGCCCAGGGCCACACAGGCGTAAGGGTAGATGCACTTCTTCCTCCCCCTGAGACTCTCTGAGACTTAAGACAGTTTTAGTTGTTATATGTTTTTATTTATTTTTTATTTTTTATTTTTTTAAAGATTTATTTTATTTTTTATTGGAAAGGCAGATATACAGAGAGGAGGGACAGAGAGGAAGATCTTCCATCCGATGATTCACTCCCCAAGTGAGCGCAACGGTCGGTGCTATGCCGATCCGAAGCCAGGAGTCTCTTCCGGGTCTCCCACGCGGGTGCAGGGTCCCAAAGCTTTGGGCCGTCCTCAACTGCTTTCCCAGGCCACAAGCAGGGAGCTGGAAGGGAAGCAGGGCTGCCGGGATTAGAACCAGCTCCCATATGGGATCCTGGGCGTGCAAGGCGAGGACCTTAACCACTGTGCCACTGCGCCGGGTCCATATGTTTTTATTTTTTTTAATTTATATGAAAGGCAGAAAGATCAGAGACAAAAAAAAATTTTTTTTTCATCTGGTGGTACACTCCCCAAAAAGGATACACAACACCCAGGGCTGTGCCAGACCGAAGCTGGGAGCCCAGAATTTCATCCAGGTCTCCCGAATGGGTTGCAGGGACTCAGTTACTGGAGCCCCCATCTGCTGCATCTCAGGAGCCTTAGCAGGAAGCTGGATGAGAAACAGAGCCAGAACCTGTACGCAGACACCCCCATATGGGACATGAGCACCTTAGTCGCTGCACCAAATACTTACCCCCACCCCTATTACTGCCCATTTTCCCTTCCAAGAAACATGGAAGACAAAGTACCTTCTAAGATATTTTCTGTGCATGTACATGTGTATTTTTAACAAATAAAAGTGGCATCCAGAAGCTGTAGAGGATTTGGATCTTAAAGCCAAAAGGATCCCTCCTTATCCACACCCCCAAGAAACCCAGGGCGCAGAGGGAGACAGACCCCTGACATGTGTCTGCAGCTTTCTCAGCTTTTCTCAGCCAGGCTGAGTCCCCTGCTTGGGTCTCTCCGAGCTAGTCCCGTTATCCCCGTTGGAGGGAAGCCATGTGAGGTCTGCGGAGCGGGGGGACCGTATCACCGCCTCGCTGCCCGGCTTGAGGGTCGGAGCCGCAGCCTTGTGGAAGGATGTTCCCTCCTGTCCCTGTCTGCCTGTTTCTGCAGTGGTACACGCCCGACGCCTGCTTGCAGCTGAAGGAGCATTTTGATGGGCAGGTCAGCACGGCCTGCCAGCGCCGGGACACGGGGACTGTCGGGTGAGCCCACGTCAAGGTGGGGGGTGGTGAGGAACAAATTCCCCTGCACAGGCTGAGGTTGCAACAGAGGTTCACTTCTGTAATTCCCACTCCCCTCTCTTTCCCTTCCCGAGGACCACTGGAAGGCTTCTCTGACCCCTCACCGTCTCTGTTCCCCAGCCCCTGATTCATGCTTCAGAGCCTGAAGCAGCTTAGCTCCCCAACTGTGAGTTTGCCCATTTGGGTCCCCCTCCCAGGGCCTACCCACAAGGGCTGAGGCTGTCTGGGTCATCCCCAGGGTCTGCCAGGAGGGTGGGAGCTGCCTGCCCTGGCAGCACGAGGCAACACTAGCACAGGGGTTTGACAACAGTTCTCTCCTCACTAACCCCTCCCCATTCATGTTTTCCCCTTTTCTATCCTTTTCTCTTTTGCTCACGATTTTTTTTATTTGAAATACAGAGTTAAGAAAAGAGGGAGAGATATTCAATCTACTGGTTCACTCCCTCAATGGCTACACATGCTACAGCTGAGCTGATCCATCACCAGGACCCTCCTCTGAGTCTCCCACACAGGTGCAGGGTCCCAAGGCTTTGGACCATCCTCTGCTATTTTCCCAGGCCACAAGCAGGGAGCTGGATGGGAAGTGGAGTGCCACAGGTAGAGGATTAGCCTGATACGCCACCAAGTCTGCCCTACTATCATTTTATCTTTTTGAAAAATATTTGAAGAGCTGGCGCTATAGTATATCAAGTAAAACCACTGCCTGCAGTGCCAGCATCCCATATGGATGCTGGTTCAAGTCCCAGCTGCTCCAGTTTTGATCCAGCTCTCCGCTAATGTACCCGGAAAAGCAGTGGATGGCCAAAGTCCTTGGGCTTCTGCATGCAGATGGGAGACCCAGAAGAAGTTCCCGGCTTTGGATCCATCCAGCTCTGACCATTGTGGCTTGAACACTGTGGGGATTGAACCAGCTTATGAAAGATTTTCACACTGTCTCTACCTCTGCCTCTTCCTCTATAATTATGACTTTCACATGAACTATTAAAATACATATACTTATTTGAGAACCCAGCGTGATAGCTAGTGTCTAAATCCTCGCCTTGCCTGCACTGGGATCCCGTATGGGCACTGGGTTAACTCCTGGCTGCTCTGCTTCCCATCCAGCTCCCTGCCTTTGGCCTAGGAAAGCAGTCAAGGATGGCCCAAAGCCTTGGGACCCTGCACCCACGTGGGAGAAATGGAAGAAGCTCCTGTCTCCTGGCTTCGAATTGCCCTAGCTCCAGCTGTTATGGCCACTTGGGGTGTGAACCAACAGATGGAAGATCTTTTTCTCTGCAAATCTGACTTTTCAATAAAAATAAGTAAATCTTGGGCCCAGCATGGTAGCCTAGTGGCTAAAATCCTCACCTTGAACACGCTGGGATCCCAGATGGGCGCTAGTTCTAATCCCGGCAGCCTCACTTCCCATCCAGCTCCCTGCCTGTGGCCTGGGAAAGCAGTCGAGGACGGCCCAAAGCCTTGGGACCCTGCACCCACATGGGAGACCTGGAAGAGGCTCCTGACTCCTGGCTTTGGATCAGTTCAGCTGTGGCCATTGCAGTCATTTGGGGAGAGATTCATCAGATAGAAGATGTTTCTCTGTGTCTCCTCCTCTGTATATGTCTGACTTTTCATAAAAATAAAATAAATACATCTTTAAAATAATTAAATTATATATATATAAATTGTATATGTATATGTATATATGTGTGTATGTATATATATATATATATATATCTGAAAGATAGAGTGGGAAGGAGAAAGAGAGAGAGAGATTGTCTTCATTGGTTTACTCCCCAAATGGCCACAATGGCCAGAGGTGGACCACCAGGCCAGTCTGAAGCCAAGAGCTGAATTGGAAGTGGAGCAGCCAGGATTTGGACCAGCACCCATATGAGCTGCCAGTAACACAGCTGGTAGCTTCACTGCCATGCTGCAGCGCCAGCCCCTACCCACTGGTTTGCCCCCAGACAGCTGCAGTGTGCTGGGTCAGGCTGAGACGAAGAGCTTGGATCGCCATCCGGGTGTTCAATATGGACTTCCCAGGCATCCTTCAGCAGGAAGCTGGACTGGAAGCAAAGTAACCAGTCTTCAGACTGGCGATAGGGCAGGGGAGAGGGGCTGATGCTGTGGCATAGCCAAGTAAATGCTAGTTGCAGTGCTGGCATCCCACATGGCTGCTGGTTCAAGTCCCAGTTATTCCATTTCCAAACCAGCTTCCTACTAATGCATTTGGGAGAGCAGCAGAGGCTGTCCAAGCACTTGGGTCCCTGTACCCATGTGAGACGCCCAGAGGAAGCTCTTGCTTGGCTCCTGGCTTCGCTCTGGCCCAGAGGCAGCTGTTGCAGCCATTTGGGGGAATGAACCAATGGAATGAAAGATCTTTATGAACGTGGGCATCCCGAGTGGGAGTTTAATTTGCTGTGTCACAGCATACAGCTCCAGCTACAGAAGCTCTACTTACATATTGTCAACAATCCTGGAAGTAGAGAGAGCAGAGTTGCAGGGAGAGACAGGGCAGCCAGGGAGTCTGACACAGGACCAGAGCCGAGGGGCCTCCAGCCACAGTTCATCCAACCCCTGTGGGTCGCGTCCACCTGCACAGATGCTGCGGATGTCCTGGCCGGAGAGCACCTGTTTCCCAGGAGCAGACGCCTACACAGGAGCTTGAAGGGGCTGCCTGTCCATTCTGTGCCCACGTCCTCCAGCACCCTCAGCATGGCTCTCACAGCCCCCTACCACCACACACACACCATGGACGCCTTTTCTGACATTTTTCTGTATTTATTGGAAAGGCAAAGGGACAGATCCGTTTGGTTTCCACCTCTACAAATGCCTGCAACCAACTTGGGGCTGAAGCCAGGGTTAGCAGAGTCACTAGAATAAACCTAGAATCTTTTCCTCTCTGAGGACCAGGGTGGAGAGCGGACAGCATGTCTCAGCAGCTGCCACCTGGCCCTGGCCCCTGTCCGCCAGCACCAAGCTCAGGAGGGGAGGGAGGGCCCACAGATCCCGGCACTCCAGGGCAGTGTGGGCATGTCTATCTCCTGCAGGCTCCAGCTCTCCAAGGTGGTGGTCGTCGGCGATCTGTACGTGGGGAAGACCAGCCTCATCCACAGGTGTGACCGCCCTACCCCCCAATGCCTGGCACCAGTTCCTGTGGAACTGGGCCCTCACCCTGCTGTCCCCTTGGGACTCTGGGCCAGTTGTTGCCCTGCCCTCAGGGTCTGGCTTCAGCTGTACCCTTCCCCCACACGGTTCTTGCTGGCGGGTGGGGGGGTCCCCCACCCCATGGCTGGTCTCTTGCTAATCGCTTGGCACACCCCCACCCCAGGAGCCAATCCTCTGTGGGGCGTCCCCTCTCTGACTGCATCCCCGCCTCCCTCCCACCCAGGTTTTGCAAGAATGCGTTCGACCGCGACTACAAGGCCACCATCGGGGTGGACTTTGAAATCGAGCGCTTCGAGATTGCCGGAGTCCCCTACAGCCTCCAGATGTAAGCCTCGCCATGTGGCCCCCAGGAGGAAGGGGCTGCTTAGAAGCTCCTGGCAAAGGCCTCAGCCAGCAAGGGCCTCCCTAAGTCCCCCCACCCCACATGCCCACTTGGTCCAGCTCATTGTCCCACGTGGGTGATCCGATCTGCCCACCTGCCTCCACCTCCCCATGATCTAGGGCTCCTGTCCTCCTCCCACACATGCCCTGGTTGTGGCTGCAGCCCTTCCTGACATGCCCACAAATCCACGCTCCAGGCCAGTGTTGGATGAGCTTTGAGCCTCTGCTGTCCCCTGTAGTATGGGCTCTGGTACAGTCCCAGCAGGCCAGGCTCGCCTCCGAGGCCCGCCTTTCCTGAGGCCTGGGGCACTCATCTTTCTTTACACTGTGGTCCTTGCCCGCAGGTCCCCAGTGCCTCTTTCTCTCTTGCTCTCTTTCCCGCTCCCTATCTCTCCTTCCTCTCACATCTGTTGCTGACCAGAGTGACCCCAGCGAAGTGCAAATCACTTCCCCAGATGGGCACTGCCACCTCCACCCTGGAAGCCATGGCTCCTTGTCACACCTGTGCCACGTGGCAGGACCACAGCTGGAAGGTCCCAGAACCTAGCACCATCCACAGGGTCTCCTCTCTCAGTGAGCATCTACTGTTACCAGGGGCCTGAGCCATGACCCCACGCTGGCAGGAGCCCTGTGAAGCCAGGGAGGGGAGCCCAGAGCACTCTCGACAACATTATGAGGGCCCAGGTGAGGGGAGAGGACCAGTGGCTGGCTCCCAGCAGGCACTTCCTGGAGGACATGTACCTGGAACAGGCCCACAAGTCCACTACCCACAATCCTACTCGCGTGTTGGCTTCCAGCATTGTGACTGCTTGAACTAACCCCCTTTCCCTTCCTCATGTGGCACAGCTGGGACACAGCCGGACAGGAGAAGTTCAAGTGCATCGCGTCTGCCTACTATCGCGGGGCCCAGGGTGAGTCAGGGGCAACGTTACCAGGGCAGGGCCCTTAGCCACACCTGTAGCTGCAGGAAGCCCAAGTCCTCTGCACGGGCTGCAGATGCCCCATCCACCGGGAACCCCCAAGAAAACACCGAGGGCTTGGGGCCAGGGAAGCTGCCTTCAAGCTGAGGGCCCTTTAAGGACCCTGTGGTGGTAGTAGTGGGTGCTGACCTTACCACTCAGCTCCAGTCTTGAGAAGGAGGTGGGGACAGGCTTGTCCCATTTCAGAACTCAGGCCCCCGGGGGAGACCAGCAGGGCCAAGGGCAGCCCAGGGCCCTGGCAGGACTCACAGGCGGCAGGAAGTGACAGCACAAGGGTTTGCATGCTGACCCCCATTCTCCCAGAAGGAAGGTGGAGGTGGACTGTACCCCAGGGGGATTTGCAAGGATTGCCCAAAGTCTTCCTGTGCAGAGTCAAGAGTCAAAAGCACGGTTGCGCCTGTGCAGTAACCACGTCTGAGCCATGATGGTGCCTAGGCCTGGGGAGGGGGAGGGTGGAGCTGCAGCTCTGCTCACCTCCGCTGCGGCCAGCCACATCTGTCACCTCTGCAGGACTCAGCAGTAGGAAGGAGGCCACAAGCCAGCCTGGTCACCAGCCAGGCCTGCCAGTCGGACAGCTACCTGTCCCATGGCCATCGGCCTTTCCCCTGCTCGGCTGGCCCCACTCAGGCCCCTCGAGGGCAGTAGGAGGCAGTTGTATGTGCCCCTAGCCCTCCTTGCCTTCCAGGAGGAACAGGGCACAGAGCATGTGGTGAGAGGAGCTGATGGGGGGCGAGTGTCGCGTCTCGCAACGCCCCCGCCATCTCCCCTCCACTGGGCTCCCTCTGAGCAGGCTGCTGACAGCGCAAGCTATAGCTGCCCCTGCTTTGAGGTGTCCACTTCAGCCCGGACCCACGTGTTGGGTGGGAAAGCGACAGCTTATCTGAGGATGGACTGCGGGACAATCATGGTCGTCCTCTCCCCGTCCCCCGCCCCCGCCGCGGTGGTGCCAGGGGCTGCTGGCCAGGGTGGGCTGCTCCTGTGGAGTGCATGCTTGGCCTCACACAGCACTGATTTGGCTGTTGCCTTTTCCTCTCGCCTGCCACACGTCCAGTGATCGTCTCGGCCTTTGACCTCACCGACATACAGACACTGGAGCACACCAGGCAAGTCCCGGGCTCTGTAGCTGCCAGGCACCTGCCCTGGCTGGCCCTCCGCCAGTGAATGCAAGCAGCCTGGCCATCTTGTCCAGACCCAACTGCCCACATGCCACTTCTCTGTCCATTTGCCCCCTAATCCCCCAATACTTGCCTCCACTCCCACCTGCTGTAAGTCCAGGCACCTCACCTTAGTACTATGTGTGCCACCTGCTATGAAGACCCTCATCCTGTCCACCCTGCCCTGGTCCCTGGCAGTCTGGTAGCTAGTCCTGTCTGAAGGAACGTGAATTTGGCCCTTGCTCCCAAGCAGACACGTGGGCAATGCAGCTGATCCCTAGGGGCCATCCTGCTTGTATAGGCCCAGTTGAGGCCCCAGAGCCTTCACTCTTTATGCTTGTACCTAAATCCATGTTATGTGGGTCAGGGTACTCCTTTTTAGTCTGATGGGAGCGTAGGACTTGCCCCAGGTCAGACTGTGCCAGGGCCAGGCTGGGCTCCCTACTGCCCCCTTCTGGCCACAGCAGCACTAGCATGCTCCCTACACCTTGTCTGGGCCGGATCCTCCCACTTTCTGCCCAGCGCTCCCAGCTCTGGGAGGACTGGAGACTACACTCCCATCCGCTGGTCTTCCCCAACTCCCCTCGGGATGGATAGAGGACCTGTGTCAGCCCGTGTCCCTTTATGCTTCCCAGACAGTGGCTGGAGGATGCACTGCGGGAGAATGAGGCGGGCTCCTGCCTGCTCTTCCTCGTGGGAACCAAGAAAGACCTCCTGGTGAGCAGCGGTAGGGCAGGGGCCTGGGTGGGCTATGGGGAGGCGCTTCCGCTTCCAGCTTTCAGAGTTCAAGGAATGTTGAGGTTGGAGTTGAAATACAGGAGTTCTGGGGGCTGATAGGGAGGGGTCCTTAGAAGCCCTCTCTGCTGTCCCCTGAAAGGCGGATCTCCCCCCCCCCCCATACCCACACACAATGCTGAGGCTGCTCATTGTCCTGGAGTGACATAGGCGCCAAGGTGGATGGGTGTACAAGCCAGGGAGATTTGGCACACTGGGCCAGCCAAACGCTTCTCGCAGTCAGGGGCGGCGTGTGAGCAGGCGGAGGCCGAGGCCGTGCACCTGGCCAGCGAGATGCAAGCTGAATACTGGTCGGTGTCAGCCAAGACGGGTGAGTCGGTGCTTGGGGCATCGCTGTGGTTGGGGAGGTGGAGCATGGCTCTCCCATGCATCGTGTTGGGGTCTCTGCCTCCTAGGGCTCCGGCACACGCTGCCAGCAAGGTAGGAGTGTGGGAGTGGAGCTCGAGGTCGTTGAAGGCAGAAGCATGTCCTCCAGCCCCGTGCAAAGAGTTGGCAGAGTAATGGCAGGTTCCCCGAGAACGTGATGACCCTGAGCTACTGGGCAGGCTGTTAACTGTTCAGGGGAGAATATGTGTGGTGGGGAAAGGGTTGGGGACCCTGGCTGCTCCCTGATGCACAGCCACGTCTACCTGTAGGAGGATGCACAAAGGGTGTCTGGTGGGAGGCCCCTCCAGCCTCCCTGGACCAGAGCAAGCATCTGTCACACCAGCTAGCCCAGTAGCAACTTACCAGAAATCATGGCTCAGAGGTGGGGTAGCATGCTGGGAGATCACAGGTTGGGGGGCCCCACCCAAGCCCCCCACCCCCAGGAGCAAAGGCAGAGGCAGCCTACATCACTCATGACCAGCCATGCCACCGGCACGCAGGGGAGAACGTGAAGGCGTTCTTCAGCCGTGTTGCCGCCCTGGCGTTCGAGCGCTCGGTGCTGCAGGACCTGGACAAGAGGAATGACGCCCGCCTCCAAGTCGGCGATGGACACCTCATCCGTGCGTACAGGCGGGGTCAGCGGGGCGGGGAGCAGGCTGGCTCGTGGCCAGAAGTCCCTGTCTGCCACCTGGGACCCTGTGTATTCTCACCTCGTCACCCTGCCATCCTCCTTGGAAACCTTCTCTTCTGGGCTGTCACCTGATCCCACGTCTGCAGCTGCCCTGACTCGCCTGCCAGCTCAGACACCTGCCCTGGTGGTCCTGTCCCATCCCAACGGGGCTCCTGAGCCAGGCTGCGTATCCCCAGGGTGGGTCCTAACTCCGGTTTCCCAGCCTGCACCCTAGCCCACCATTCATTATCCACCCAGCTGTGATGCCCTTAGCCTCTGCCAGGCTCAAACCACAGGGCCCAGGAGCTTGTTGCTTGAGGGCGGCACCTACCCAATGGTAACCATGTATAACTTCTGTCCTCCTCACAGGGATGGAAGGAAGCTCACCCGAGACCCAGGACAGCCAGCAGCCGCCCAGTGTGGGCTGCTGTTAGTAGGAGGCTGTGTCAGAGGCCCCCCCAAGCCCTGGAATGCGTGTGGACAGCGACTTCGGTGACCGTGGAGGGCTGAGGGAGAGTTACTTCTGCAGGTCGGAGCCAGAAAAGATCCTGAAAGACCTCACACTGCCCCGCCCTGGCCAGCAGGGTCACCCTTGACCTTGAGAGGCCTCAGGGGCAAGCTGCAAACAAATGTAGGACGAATTCCTGCGCCTGCTCACATTCCCTCATCCCGCAGCCCACATCAGCGGGGGGCCCAGCACGCCTTCCCAGCCACCCCGGATGGGCCTCAGAACCGTTCCTAGCACTGCGTCCCAGGCAGGTGTCAGCAGTTGAGGGAGCTTTGTGCCGTTCCAGGCCTCGCCATTCACTCTCCCTTCACTTCTGCCCCTTGGGTTCTTGGGGTGGCCACGGCGGCCCCGGTCTGGAAGACAATAAGATGTCTCAGGCACGCCCTGGCCCATCTGAGACTCCCCTAGGGTCCAGTCTGTGTGCCAGAAGCCTCCTCCCAAGCTGATCACACCTTCCTGGCTCACCCAGATGAGGGATCCACCTGGCCATGCTGGGGGCCTCCCGGGATCACTTGTTCCTGCAGCCTTGAATGTGGCCTGCTTGGTCCCCGCAGGCCAGCCCCACCCTGTACCACCCCGTGACTCTCTCCCACTGTCCCGTTGGCTCCTCGGGATGAGCGTCACTCAGAAGGACTTTGGAGGCCCCCAGAGGCTGGTCTGCTGCTCTGTCCACTGCTGCCCTCCTGCACCTCCACAGCCGGCATCCCCAGCCCTCCCTCTGCCCTCCACCCGCCTCATACCCCAGGCCAGAGTCTGTGTGGACCCAGTGTCGCCCTCTCAGGCGGCGGGCAGGTGGGCATATTAAGTGGGAGCATTCTGCCAGAAGCTGTTCTGCTTGGTGCCCGGCCCACTGCAGGTACGCTGAGAGGTCATCGGCTCACAGCGATTACCAGATATCAAAGGGGGAAAGTGTGGGAATCACTTTCTGTTCATTACCCTTGTATCTTTTTCATAGCCATGTTTTCAGCATTTTTTTTTTTAAGAATACTCTTGGACCCAACACAATGGCTCAATTGGCTAATCCTCCCCTTGCAAGCACCAACATCCCATAAGGATTTCCTAGCTGCTCCATTTCCCATCCAGCTCCCTGCTTGTGGCCTGGATAGCCCAAAGCCTTGGGACCATGTACCCATATAGAAGACCTGGAAGAAATCTCCTGACTCCTGGCTTCAAATCGGCTCAGCTCTGGCCATTGCAGCCAATTGGGAAGTGAACCAGTGGATGGAAGATCTTTCTCTCTGTCCTCTCTATAAATTTGCCTTTCCAGTTTAAAAAAAAAAAAATCTCTTTTTTGTAAAATAAAAAAGTTTTAAAATATCTTGGGCCCGGCATGGTAGCCTAGTGGCTGAAGTCCTCGCCTTCAGGATCCCATATGGTCGCCAATCCTAATCCTTGCAGCTCTGCTTCCCATCCAGCTCCCTGCTTGTGGCCTGGGAAAGCAGTCGAGGACGGCCCAAAGCCTTGGGACCCTGCCTCTGTGTGGGAGACCCAGAAGAGCTCCTGGCTCCTGGCTTCGGATTGACTCCGGCCATTGGGGCTGCTTGGAGAGTAAATCAGCGGATGGAAGATCTTCTTCTCTGTCTCTCCTCCTCTCTGTATATCTGCCTTTCCAATAAAATAATAATAATAATGAAATACATTAAAAAGAAAAAAGAAGCCAGATGCCACCACCACTACCTCCCTGCCAGGGCTGCCGATCACAAACTTGAATGGCCAGAAATGTAAAGCTAAATGAAGCTCTTCTCTTTAGAAAGCTAGTTGGCTTGGGGTGTGTTGTTACAGCAGTGAGGAAAAGCTGGCCGCTGCACAGAGGTGGACAGGGGCCTGGGGAGAGGCACATGGTTGCTGATGTCTCTTCCCACATCAGCTTCTCCCTGAAGCCCAGTCCCCTGTGTAATCCCATTTAACGCTTCCCCGCAGGTATTAGCAACAGCCCGTTCCTTGGCTAAACTGAGGCTCTGTGAGGGGCACAGAGGCTAGCAGGGTCAGGCAGGTGCAGGCTGGGACAGGCCTGAGCCCCCTGGTGACACAGTTCAAAGCAGGAGGGGAAAAGAGATACTGGCTGGGTTCTGGGTGCATCCCTACCACACCCCAGAAGCCGGTGGCTTTAGGCCCTGCCTGCCCTGAGATAAAACAGCCAGCCTCCTACGGTCTCCTGCCATCTGCCATGGTAGCCTCATGATTGTCACCTCCCATATGTCAGGCTGCATCAGGCCATCCCCTGAGGGACGTTGACAAGCAGATGGGAAGTGTGGCTGTCACATCACCTCGTTGCAGGCAGCACACATCCTTCCCGGCTGCCTCCCCCACCTTTCAGCCACAGGCCTCCTGGGACACCTGTCTGAGTGTGTCCCAGGAGGCTGCCGTTGGCCGGCCTGTCCCCTGGCACAGTGAGGGGTGGTCAGGGAGGCCAACAATGTCCAGGGCTTGCTCCCTCCTTGCTGTACCCCATGCCTGAACGGGGGCTCTCCAGGCTCCTGTTTGCTGAAAGCCACAGCCCAGACCATCTCCCTGGCCATATCGTCAGAAATGAGCCCAGCTTGCTCCCTGCAGAATGCTGGAAGCAGCAGCCTGGGAGAGCCTGCTGCCATTGCTCAGCTGCAGACGTCTCATCAATAATTGATTCTGCAGAAGGAGGAGGCTGAGGGGTGCGGGAGGGAGCTGCTGCTGAGGAAGGAGCCAGAAGTCCCCCAGGCTCCAGCTTTGGAAGGAAAGAAGACAACCCCCTCGCTTGCTCATCCCAACCTTTGGCCAGCGGCTCCAGGGAAAGGGCTCATATCTCCTCTGATCAGGCTGTCCTGGCAGAGACTCCCGCTTCCAGATTCTGGATCAGGGGTAAGCAGGCCATAGGCTGGGACAGGCTGGGTCCGGGTGGCACAAATGCACAGGGCTTAGCACCAGCTGTGCTAACAGCCCCAGTTTTTCTACTCTTTGCCCCCAGCTCCATGGGTCTGACAGTTGACAGATGGCAGGAGCACGTCACATGAACACGCATGACCTGAAGGGAGTTCTCTTGGCCTCCAGGCACCAAAGTGGGTGGTGATAGGGTGCAGACAGGGCAAGGAGGGAACCAGGAGAGACCCAGACTTTGGGGTCAGCCTCAGGTGGGTGTAAAGGCAGGAAGCGTGGCTGTCTTTCTAAAGTTACCGTTGGATGATGCTGTCTGCTGGCACAAGGCTCAGGGTAATGGATGTGGGGCCAGGGTAGGCTGGGCTCTAGGCCTTGGCTGCCTGGTGACCACTGAGGGTTACAGCTTGGGCAGGATTGGGCTCCCACACTTAGGCAAATGTTTAAAGCGCCCCCCCCCCCCCCCCCCCGCCCATCACCACCACCACCACAAGTCTTACATTGAGGGTTAATACTTGATGGATTAAGGCTGAGAGCTGATCCAACTCTGGTGTCTGGGAGAAGGAGTTGACAGGAAATCTTTAGGTCACTGGGGCCCTTGGGGGTGGTGGGTGGTGTGATGGCTGTAGCTGACACCAGCATCCCATATGGGCACTGCTTCAAGGCCCAACTACTGCATTTTCAATCCAGCTCCCTGTTTATGACCTGGAAAAGCAGTGGCTCAAGTCCTTGGGACCCTGCACCCACAGGGGAGACCCAACAGAACCTCCTGACTCCTGGTTTGAGACAGGCCCAGCTCTGGTTCGTGAGGCCATTTGGGAAGTGAACCAGCAGTTGGACGATTGCTCTCCGCCTTTCGCTTCCTAACACTGACGTGCACGTTAAACAATCAGAACAGCTATGGGGAGCCTGGAGACATCTGTTACCTTGCAGAGGCGTAACAACTGCCAAAGCTCAACATCTGGCATCTTCAAAACACACCCAGTTGATTGCACATCGGGCCCCTCCCTCCCACTTCTACCCTCATCTCCCCCCTAACTTTCTACTCAGAAAAATCAAATAAATGGCCCTTCACTTGACTGTGCTGTCCAGTATGACTACTTTAAGTTTGATTTTGAACTGAATAAGACCTAGTAAGTGATTATTAGTAGAGCAAAAATACATTAGAAACACACACACACACACACACACACACACACACACACTAAGACTTGGGACTGGCTCCATGGGATGGCTCTGCTTGCAATGTGAGCAACTCATACGGCCGCTGGTTCTAATCCCGGTAGCTCCTCTTCCCTTCCAGCTCCCTGCCTGTGGCCTGGGAAAGCAGTGGAGGACAGCCCAAAGCCTTGGGACCCTGCACCCCATGTGGGGGACCTGGAAGAAGCTCCTGGCTCCTGGCTTCAGAGGGTCCAGTTCTGGCTGTTACAACCAACTGGGGGGTGAGCTAGCAGATGGAAGATCTTTCTCTCTGTCTCTCCTTCTCTCAGTAAATCTGATCTGCCTTTCCAATAAAGAATAAACAAATCTTTTTTAAAAATGAGAAATGCCACTGTCCCCCTCTCTTTCTGTCTCACAGCCCCCTCCCTGTGTGCCCCACTAGGCCACGTAACACGTCTGGATCTGAGTTCAGCCAGCACCAGGTGGGCACCTGCTGCGTGCATGGGCACTCGGACCTAAGGTCCAGGTGTCTGCAGAGGTTGGCCACAGCTGCATGAGAACGCACAGAGCGAGCCATTGTGTCTGGACCTCAGTTCTGCTGCCTCCCTCCATCTCCCTAAGGACGGAAGGAAGATAAGAGGGCTCTCCCAGGGAGGCCCAGGGCCCTGTAGTGGGAAGATGGAAGCAGTGACCTTGGGGGCCAGAGAGACCGTTCTTTCGGGGAGGGGAGAAAGACACTATGTGGATATGTCCTTGCGCCTAACAGAAAGGTGGCCGCTGTACCGAGAACATAGCCTGCTAACCTAGCCCGACAGCAGCAGGATTTCTGAGTGAGCTCATGTGAAAAAATGTCTGAAGTGGGGCCAGGGAACAGAGAGTGGCCTGGGCTCTCATCTGGCCTGGCCCACTCGCCAGGTGACCTGAGCAGGTCATTTGCAGAAGACAGCTGGCATTAACTAAATGCCAGAGAAAGAGAGTCTTCTATCTGAAGGTTCAGTCCCTAGATGGCTGCAATGGCAAGGGCTGGGCCAGGTGCTGAAGCCAGCAGCCAGGAGCTTCTTCCCGGTCTCCCACACAGGTGTAGGGTCCCAAGGCTTTGGGCCGTCCTCTACTGCTTTCTCGGGCTACAAACAGGGAGCTGGATGGGAAGTGGAGCAGCCAGGATTAGAACCGGCGCCCGTATGGAATGTTGGTGTTGCGGGTAGTGGCTTTGTGGCCGCGTCCTGAAGTCAGGGCACTAGCGCCATCTCAATCCAGGCAGGGGGTGAGGGGATCAAAGGAGGTGGGTTGGGTGCGAAGAGTCCCAGTGGACAAGCGGCCGCAGCACGCCAGAGTGGCCAGCAGAGGGCGGCAGGGAGCCGCACAGCGCCCGGGCGGCGGAAGCTGCGCCCTAAAAGGAGCAATCAACAGGCAACCTTGGAGTGAACCCCGCAGGCCACGGTGTGCAGTGCAGACAGTGGTCATGACATTCGGCAGAGGAGGGCAAAACGGAGGCCCCAAAAGAGGGGCAAAGGGGACGGCTGGGGTTCCGCAGCAGAGAGCCAGGGTTCTGGCTGGGAACCCTCAGCCTGGGGGGCAAAGAGGGGGTGTGGATGCGGGACATGGGCTGGGATGGGGAAGGGGCGCTGGAAGGTGGGCCGGGAGGGGCCAGCAGAAACCCTGAGAGCTTCCCCCATCCACGCAGTCCTCTCCTTGTCATTTCAGGAAACTGAGGTGGAGAGAGGGAGTGTGTGGGACAGGGCAGCCAAAATTTTGTCTTGCTCCTTCAAGGGCCAAATTCTGTCTGGCGCCTCCCACACGCCCACCCCACTGGGGGGACTCAAAGATTCTTCCTGTGAATAATTTCTACTTGGGGGGTTTGGGGTGGGGACAGGGGGTGGGAGGGGGGGGAACCAGAGGTTTTGTTTGTGGACTTGGGCTGGTTGTGCCTCACTCCTACTTGGAGGGTTCGCAGTCTCTAAGTTGTTGGAGGATCCAGCACAGTTTAGCTTAGTGGCTAAAGTCTTGCATGCTCCAGGATCCCATATGGGCTGCTCCTTTTCCCATCCAGCTCCCTGCCTGTGACCTGGGAAAGCAGTCCAGGATGGCCCAAAGCCTTGAGACCCTGCACCGGCGTGGGAGACCCTGAAGAAGCTCTTGGCTCCTGGTTTCATATTGGCTCAGCTCCAGCCATTGCTGTGACTTGGGGAGTGAACTTTGGGGAGTGAAATTCCTTTGTAGGATGTAGTGGAATCTCCACGCCAGGGTCACATCCCTCGCCCCTGCACCCTGGAGCTGCAGGCCTGGGTGAGCCTCCCTCCCCCGGCTTTGCCCCTGCTGGGTGACCTGGACCAGCATTCTGAGTGTCCCCTCTCCTCGGTCTTGACACTTAGTGAGCACGCGGGGGTGGAGGTGAGGGGTCTGTGGGGATTTCTGAGGGAACTCAGGCCCAGTGTCATTTTCCACGTGAGACCTTGGGGTGGGGGAGTCGCCGGTCCAGCAGAGCGCACAGAGGAGGAGAGAGAGAGAGAGAGAGAGAGAGAGAGAGAGAGAGAGAGAGAGAGAGAGGGCTGTGTGTGTGTGTCTGTGTCTCGGGGAGGATGGAGTGTGTGTGTGTGTGTGTGTGGTGTGTGTGTGTGTGTGTGTGTGTGTGTGGTGTGTGTGTGTGTGTGTGGTGTGTGTGTGGCGTGTGTGTGTGTGTGTGTGGTGTGTGTGTGGTGTGTGTGTGGTGTGTGTGTCCGGGAGGATGGAGCGAGCCAGGCAGCGGCCGGGCAGGAGGAGAGCGCGGCTCCTTTAAGAGGCGCGCCCCGCTCCGTCGGCCGCGCGGCCACCGCCCCCCTCAGCCGGGTCCTCCCCTTCCTGCGGCGCCGCCGAGTGCGGGGCCGGGGCGCCGAGTGCGGAGCGAGCGGCGGGGCCGAGCGGGGCCGAGCGGAGCGGCGGGGCCGGGCCGGGCCGGGCTGCGGGGCGGCGCGCGGGGAGCGAGGGGCCTGGGGAGCGCGCAGGGCCGTCCGTGCGCCCCTGGGCTGAGGCGGCCGGCCATCCGGGGGGTGCCGAGCCCAGGGCGCACGGCCGCCCCGCGCCCAGGAGCCCCGCACACAATAGCGGCGCGCGCAGCCCCGCGCCCTTCCCCCTCAGCTCCTCTTCCTCCCACGCGCGCCCCGCCCCCTCCCCGCGGCGTGTGTGTGGGTGTGTGTGTGTGTGTGTGTGTGTGTGTGTGTGTGTGTGTGTTGGGGTGAAGGCAACCGAGCCGGCCGCCTCACCTGCCGCCCGGGAAGGGGCGGGCATTGTTCGCTGCTGCTGCTGCTGCTGCGCGGGGCCATGGGGGCCGCCGTGCGCCCCGGGCCGGGCCTGCCAAGGTGGCCACGGCGCGGCTGAAGCGAGAACCCACCTGACACCCCCAGGATCCACCCCCCTCCTTGCCCCGGCACCTCCGGCTCCCCTTCGCCCCTCAGCCCTTTGGCTCGCGCCCGTTCGCTGAGGCGCCAGGTGAGGCGTCATGGTGGACCCGGTGGGCTTCGCCGAGGCTTGGAAGGCGCAGTTCCCGGACTCGGAGCCACCGCGCATGGAGCTGCGCTCGGTGGGCGACATCGAGCAGGAGTTGGAGCGCTGCAAGGCCTCTATCCGACGCCTGGAGCAGGAGGTCAACCAGGAACGCTTCCGGATGATCTACCTGCAGACGCTGCTGGCCAAGGAAAAGAAAAGCTACGATCGCCAGCGCTGGGGTTTCCGGCGTGCCACGCAGCCCCCCGACGGCGCGGCCACCGAGCCTCGCGTCCCCGCGCCACGGCCCCCGCCGGCAGCCGACGGTGCTGACCCCGCTCCGGCCGTGGTCACCGCTGCCGCCACCGCCGAGGAGCCCGAGGCTCGGCCCGACGGAGAGGGCTCCCCCGGCGGTGGCGGCAAAGTCAGGCCCGCGGCGCCGCGCAGAGCAGGGGCGGCCGCCGCGACCACCGCCATCTCCACCACCACGACCACCAGCAGCAGCAGCAGCAGCAGCACCGCCACCGACCGGGACGAGCGTGGACCCCCCACCAGCGTGGCGGCGCTCCGGTCCAACTTCGAGAGGATCCGCAAGGGAGAGAGTGAGAAACCCTTCTATGTGAACGTCGAATTTCACCACGAACGCGGCCTGGTGAAAGTCAACGACAAGGAGGTCTCGGACCGGATCAGTTCGCTGGGTAGTCAGGCCATGCAGATGGAGCGTAAGAAGGCCCAGCAGTGTGCCGGTCAGGGTCAGGGTCAGGGTCAGGGTCAGGGTCAGGGTGTGGGGGACTCACTCAAACCTTCCTACCGGGGACGCGCCTCCGAGAGCAGCTGCGGGCTGGACGGGGACTACGAGGATGCCGAGTTAAACCCCCGCTTTCTGAAGGACAACCTGATCCAAGCCAACGGCAGCAGCGGCGGCAGGCCCCCGTGGCCACCCCTGGAGTACCAGCCGTACCAGAGCGTCTACGTCGGGGGCATGATGGTGGAGGGCAGCGAGGGCAAGGGGCAGCCGCCACCGCCGCTGCTGCTGCTGCGGAGCCAGAGCACGTCGGAGCAGGAGAAGCGCCTCACCTGGCCCAGGAGGTCCTACTCCCCGCGGAGCTTCGAGGACAGCGGGGGCGGCTACACGCCCGACTGCAGCTCCAACGAAAACCTCACGTCCAGCGAGGAGGACTTCTCCTCCGGCCAGTCCAGCCGCGTGTCCCCGAGCCCCACCACCTACCGCCCGTTCCGGGACAAGAGCCGCTCGCCCTCGCAAAACTCGCAGCAGTCCTTCGACAGCAGCAGCCCGCCCACGCCGCAGTGCCACAAGCGGCACCGGCAGTGCCAGGTGGTGGTGGCCGAAGCCACCATCGTGGGCGTCCGCAAGACCGGCCAGATTTGGCCCAGCGACGGAGATAGCACTTTCCATGGAGACCCAGGTGAGTGAGTGACCATGCACCACATCAGCTGGACTGGGCACACTTGCCCAGGTGGAGGAGGAGGGGAGGGGTGTGCTTGGTGCCCTAAGCTGTGAACGGGATGGTGGGTGGTGGGGTCAGGGGCACACACAGGGAGGAGTGGTAGAGAGGGGAATGGCAAGGGGCAGATGCCTTTCTGTGGCTTCTTGCTGACCCTGTGTCTGAGCTAACTCTAGAGCCCCATTTTTGCTTTTTTTTTTTGCCAAATGGGAAGTCCTAGGTGTTCCAGAAGGGGTTAGATCGGGTGTGCTATACAAACTAGTGACTTGTTGGGACACCGATGGGACACACACACACACACACACACACACACCAGGGGTTGGGCGAGGCCCGACACCTCCTTGTTCTGTGATCTTGCCACATGGTGGTGGGGAGAGTACAATGCTACAAAGCTGAGGTTGGTTCTGTACTGCCCTAATGGGATGCCTTCAGCCAGGACTGATGCGTTCACGTGCAACTTGGGCACCTCCCCCCTCCGCCCCCCACTGGCCGCCGTTCCTTGTCCTCCAGGGGTTGTGTGACAGCGTTTGGTGAACCCCAGATGTTTGCTGCTGCCAGTCGTTCCCAGGCTGCGCAAGTGCCAGGCTCACTGGCTGGCAAGTTGGAGCAGGTGCAGGTAGGCGCTGGGAAGGAAGTGAAGTGACAGGCAGCCGTGACTCAGTGGGCCGTCAAAGAGAAATCAATGGGATAATTCTGTCCATGCTGGAGCCGAGCCACACCCGTTCCTGAGCTTGCTGGCTGGGCTGGAAGACGCACCCCGTGGTTTGTGTCACCCACGTTAGGCTCCTCCATGTGTCTGAACCGCTCCCCCCTGTCCCAGCTTCCCAGTCCTTGCCTTTCCATAGAGGAGCACCCACAGACTGTGATGGATGGCTCTGAGATCAGACCCGTGCCTGGGATAAACAGCGCATGTCTGGCTCCAGGGTTGGTGTGAGGCCATGCCAGTCTCTTGGAGTCCTCTCCCTGTTGACCAGTCCTGTTTTCCTGCTTCGCTGATTTTTTTTTTTTCCTCCTGCTTTTCCTGATGGAGTTGCATGCAGCTGATTGGTCAGAATCCTGTTGAACTGACGGGCCTGGTGTTGGCTCCTGGCCCTCAGTCCTGACTGGTTTAAGGACTTCCAGGTGCTCATGTCGCTGCTTGGGTTGGCCCTCACCGTGGGGCTGGGATCTGCTTGCCTAGCCTGGCTGCTTGTTCCTAAGCCCCTGGCCCTGGGCTGGGTGGGGCTTGGGGGATGGGGAGCAGCTGGCTGTAGGTTTCCCAGGTCTCTAGTCGGGGGCGGAAGGTTGTAGGATTCAGAAGCCTGTTCTGCAGGCACTTCAGGGTCTGGAGGGTTGCCCTGCGGCTGCACTGGGCACCAGCCTGGTCCGGCCAGAGCTGTCAGCTGGGCAAGCCGGCTTGAACTGGCCTTTGGCGCTGGGGTGCGGGAGATGGTAATTAATGAAGGAGAAAATGAGGGGTTTGCATGTAGACCTGCAGGCTGCAGAGACTGGAGCTTGTTTGCTGGCTGGCTGGCAAATTTTTTTTAAAAAGACATATTTATTTATTTTGTTGCAAAGTCAGCTTTACAGAGAAGAGGAGAGACAGAGAGGAAGATCTTTCCTCTAATGATTTACTCCCCAAGTGAGCGCAACTGCCGGAGCAGAGCTGATCCAAAGCCAGGATCCAGGAAATTCTTCTGGGTCCTCCAAGCAGGTGCAGGATCCCAAGGCTTTGGGCTGTCCTCGATTTTTTTTTTTTTAACTTTAAGAAGCAGAGAGATATTGAGAGAGTTCCTCAGAAGCCAGAGCTGGGTCAGGCCAGTGCTGGAAGCCAAGAGTTTCATCCAGGTCTCCCACGTGGGTCTTAAGTACTTCATCTGTCACATGCTGCCTCCCAGGGGGAGCGATAGCAGGAAAGTTGGAATTGGGAATACAGCTAGAAACTCACAGCTGGACTTTGCTAGGGAAGGCTGGCATTCCAGGTGATGTTTTAGCTACTAGGCCAAGTGCCTTCCCCAAGTTTTTTTTAGAACTTTTTAAAGGATTTATTTTTATTGAAAAAACAGATATATATAGAGAGGAGGAGAGATAGAGAGGAAGATCTTCTGTTCGAGGTTTCACTCCCCAAGTAACTGCAATGGCCAGTGCTGCGCCGATCCAAAACCAGGAGTCAGGAGCTGTTCTGGGTCTCCCACGTGGGTGCAGGATCCCAAGGCTTTGGGCCGTTCTCGACTGCTTTCCCAGGCCACACGCAGGGAGCTGGATGGGAAGCAGGGTCGCTAGGATTAGAACCAGCGACCCTATGGGATCCCCGTGCGTTTAAGGCGAGGACTTTAGCTGTGAGACTCCAGTACTGGGTCCTTTTTAGGACTTTTAAAAATCTGCTTATTTATTTGAAAGGCATGGTTAACAGAGAGACATCTTTTTGCCTGCACAAATGACCGCAAGAGCAAGGACCAAGCGAGGCTGAAGCCAGGAACTCTATATCCAAGTTTCCCATGTGGGTGCAGAGGCCTGGGTGCTTGGAGCCATCTTTCACTGCTTTTCTCAGGTGCCTTAAGCTTGGAGCTGGATTGGAGGTGGAGCGGATGGGACTTAAACCGACCCTCATATGGAATGCTGGCACTGCTCAACCCACTGGAGCGCAGTGCTGGCCCCAGGAGAGTGTTTTAGAACACTTTCAGGTTCACAACAAAACTGGAATTGAAGATGTAGAGATTTCTGCTGCACCCCAAGCCGCGGCTTGTGTGTTGCTGTGGATGAACCCGCAGTGACGCGGCATCATCCCCCAGAGTCTGTGGGTTTCATTAGCGTCCACTCCTGCTGTTACACCATCTGTGGGTTTGGATCCTGTTGGGTTTTCAAATTCCTGTAACAGCTATGTGGCATAGCTGTTAAGGCTGCTGCCTGCAGTGCCAGCATCCCATATGGATGCCAGTTCAAGTCCCTGCTGTTCTACTTCCCATCCAGCTCCCTGCTAATGGTGCCTGAGAAAGCAGTGGAGGACGGCCCCTGCACTCCCATGGGAGACCTGGCTGCTGGCTCAGGCCAGCACTGGCTAGTGTGGCTATTTGGGGAGTAAACCAGTGCAGGGAAGATCTCTGCCTTCCCTTCTTACTGGAATTCTGCCTTACAATTAAATGTATCTTAAAACAAACAAAGCACCAAGCCAACACATTGCTAGTTGATTGAGCCCCAGGAGCCTTTAAGCTCCCTGGCCTGCTCTGACGTGCGGCTGTCAAGGGATCCTGTGCCGCTGGCTTGGCCATCTGTCTCTCTCGGGGCTGTTTACGGTGGATGGCTGCAGAGCTGGCTGGCCTAAAAAAGGAACAATGTGGAAAACCAGGTTGTGGGGAGGCAGTGGAAGTCACCCTGTCGGCCATGAGGGCTGCCCACGTGGGACGTGGGTGAGGAGTGGGCGGGCTCGCACTGAACTGTGCTGTCTAGGAGCTGACAGGGTGATGGGCAAGAGTGGAGTGAGATCAGGAAGCCTGGGGGGGGGGGGTGCAGTCCAGGCTCAGGGTGGGGTGTGGTGGTACAGTCACAGTGCAAGTTTTGGAACGTACCCACCTCTGCCCTCTGTGACCTCCTCCTCCATCTTTTAAAACATTCATTTGGGCCTGGAGTGGTAGCCTAGCAGCCAAAGTCCTTGCCTGAACATGCCGGGATGCCATATGGGTGCTGGTTCTAATCCTGGCAGCCCCGCTTCTCATCCAACTCCCTGCTTGTGGCCTGGGAAAGCAGTCAGGGACGGCCCAAAGCCTTGAGACCCTGCACCCACATGGGAGACCTGGAGGGAGCTCCTGGCGCCTGGCTTTGGATCAGCTCAGCTCCGGCTGCTGTGGCCACTTGGGGAGTGAATTGTCGGATGGAAGATTTCTTTCTCTGTCTCTCCTTCTCTCTGTATATCTGACTTCTCAATAAAAATAAAAATAAATCTTAAAAAGAAGATGCATTTATTTTATTTGAAAGGCAGAGTTAGAGACAGAGAGAACTCTTCCATCTACTGGTTCACTTTGCAGACAACAGCCAGGGCTAAGCCAGGAGCCAGAGGCCTCTTCCTGGTCTCTCAAGTGGATGCAGGGTCCCAAGGCTTTGGGCCATCCTTGACAACTGCTTTCCCAGGCCACAAGCAGGGAGCTGGATGGGAAGCGGGGCTGCCGGGATTAGAACCGGTGGCCATATGGGATCCCAGGTGTATGCAAGGCGTGGACTTTAGCCACTACACTATCGCGCCGGGCCCCTGTGGTGTGTTCTTGAGCCATCATTACCTGCTGCTTCTGGGGGGCACCTAACAGGGGCAGGAAGTTGGAAGAAGGAACAGAGCTGGGACCTGAACCTAGGTACGCTGACATTGGATGGAGGGGGACGGGACGTTGTCCCAGGGCCCCCGAGAACTGTTTCTTCTTCCAGGACAAAAACCCCCTAACTCCCCCACTTCCACTCCCCCTCACCCACGGCAGCCACCATCTTTCCATCTCTGGGGATTGTAACAGTTCTAGATCTTTTGTGTTAAGTGGGACCCTACAGGGTGTCTGGCTTATCTTTCCCTAGGCATAATAGTTTCAAGGTCCCTCTGAGTTCTGGCATGGTCAGGCTGCCTCAGTTTACCACAGCTGCTGGGGCTGAGGCTGAGAGGGCACGCAGGTCAGTTACTGACCATGCCCATCTCCTGCTAATCCCCTCCCTGGGTGTTTGAGGTCCGAGCCTGTGGGTCCGCTCTGCCCTCTGGCAGGTGCCGGGTGCTGAGATGTGGCCCTCAGATGCCGTGTGTGACTGTTCCGACTGTTGACACATCTTTGCTGAGCAGCTAATTGGCCCTCTTGGATCCAGCTGATGGGTTGGCGCCGAACAGTCATGGCTTTGTTGTCCCCCCACCCCCGGGGTGACTGACTGGAGCAGCAAGTGGTTTGAATGAGTAAGCCATGGGGCGGCGGGAGGTCACACACACACACACACACACACACACACACACACACAAC